CTCTCAGTGAGACAGGGAACATTTTAAGCAGAGAAGTGACTTTGATATTACTTACATTTAAAAAAATTTGCAACTGTGTTAAGGTATGATTGAATTATATAATAGAATATGTTTAAAGCATCTGTGAAAACATGAGCACAGTCAAGATCATGAACATATCTGTAACTCCCAGAAGATTCCTAATGCCTCTTTATAATCCCTCCCCACCTCTTGTCTGGCAGCCACTAATCTGCTGTTTGTCGCTGTAGATTAGTTAGCATCTTCTTGAATTTTATATAAATGGAGTTGTTCAGAATGTGCTCTTTTATGTTTGGCTTCTTGCTTTCAGCATAATTATTTTGAGATTCATCCATTGTGTGAATCAGTAGTTATTCCTTTTTATTGCTCAGTAGAATTCCATTGTATGGATATATTATAATTTGTTTATCATTCACCTGTTAGTGAACATTTGAGGTAGTTTCTAGTTTTTAGTTGTCACAGAGTATAAACAGCATATTGTTGGGTCCTGTTACTTTATCCACTCTGATAAGCTCTGCCTTAATTGAATATGCATTTAGAGCATTTACATTTATATTTTATGTGATTAGTGGTATAATTGTGTTATTTTAATTTTTACTCACTGATTTTAGAGAAAGAGAGAGAAACATCGATTTTTTGTTCCACTTACTTATGCGTTTATTGGTTGCTTCTTGCATTTGACCTGACTGGAAATCAAAATTGAACCTGCAACCTTGGTGTATCAAGATAACGCTCTAACCAGCTGAGCTACCTGGCCAGGGCTGGTGTAATTGGGTTTTAACCTATTATCTTGCTATTTGTTTTCTGTTTGGTTCAACTGTACTTGTTCTCCCTTTGTTATATTTCTGCCTTCTTTTGAAATTATTATTATTATGTTTTTTATTTTTTTTAGAGACAGAGGGAGGGAAGAGAGAGAGAGAGAGACAGAGACATTGATATGAGAGAGAAACAGGAATCAGTTGCCTCCTGTATGCGCCCTGACCGGGGATTGAACATGCAACCTAGGTATGTGCCCTGACTGGGAATCAAACCTGCAGCCTTTTGGTGCATGGGATGATGCTCCGGCCAACCCGGCCACCTGGCCAGGGCTTGAGGATTGCCTTTAAGCTTTGTTAGGTGGGATCAAAGTAACATTTGGGACTAATTTTTCCTTGCTGCTGTCTTGTAAATTATCAGGTTTTCCCCCTCTGGTTGGTGGAAACACAAACTATTCCCCACCTTGTGTGAGCACCAGGGAAAATTCCGCCTGTTACTTTTCTTGGTATTTTCCTCAACTGGTAAGGAGGGAGGAAATACCTGTTGAGGGAAGTAGTGTGAGCCATAATGTACAGATGTCTTTGAGGTACTTTCCTCAACTCAGGGAGATTGCAAGGCTCTGTGTGGGTCACCTCCCTGTGCTATTGCTGGGAAATCTTTCTAGATAGTAAATTCAGGCAGTCCTGGGACTCACCTTGTTTGTTTCCCTTTCCTTTTTTCCCCCTCTTTCCTTTCTTAAATTTTACTATTTTTATTTTATTATTTATTTATTTATTTATTTATTTATTTATTTATTTATTTATTTATTATTTATTTATTTTTAATTGATTACAGAGTGAGGAAGGGGGGGGAGAGAGAGAGAGAGAGAAACATCAATGATGAGAGTCATTGATCAGCTGCCTCCTGCATGTCCCCTGCTGGAGATCAAGCCCACAACCTGGGCATGTGCCCTGACCGGGAATCGAACCAGGATTTCCTGGATCATAGGTCGATGCCATGCCAGCTGGGCTGTTTCCCTTTTCTTAGTGTTCACTGTTCTGCATTGCTTGTTGTCCAATGCCTGAAAATTGTTTCTTTTGTTTTGCCCAGCTTCCTAGTTGTATAACATGAGAGGGTAAATCTATTCCTTGTTACTTCATCATGGTTGGAAGTGGAAATCTTTCCTGATTTATATTTTAAAGGGTGTTTGTTGAGAATAGGTTATAGGGGAACAGAAGTAGAAGCAAGAATAGCAGTGAGGAAGCTATTTTAGATAAGAGGTGATGATGGCTTGGTCCAAGGGGTAGTGGTGGAAAAGTGAGAAATGATCAGACTTTGAATATATTTTAATGTTAAAGCAAACAAGATTTACGATGAATTGATATATAAAAGAATGAGAGAAGTCTAGAATGACACCTAAGGTTTATGTTATCTTCATTGTGTATTTGAGAACACAAAAGCATAAGAATTTATGAGACTTGCTCAAAGTAAAACAGCCAGTCTCAAACTCAGATCTAATTACAAAGCCCTGTTCTACTGTACTCCATTGACACAGAGACTGTGAGTAGTATAAACCACAAGTACTAAAGGAGTTCAAAGAACGGAAAGATATCTTCCTGCTTGAAGGAATAAAGGAGAATTCACACAAAAACTCATTTGAGCTCATGGTTCCTAAAGAATGGGTAGAATTTGGTAAGGAGGGAGGAAATACCTGTTGAGGGAAGTGGTGTGAGCCATAATAATAAGCTTTCCAAAGGTCAGTGTGGTTTCATATATACATCCTATAAAATTTTTCATGTTCAAAACTTAAGGGCCTAGAGTCATTCTTTTTGGTATATTTGTATCTTATTTGTTCTTAGAACAACTCTAAATAAGGATAGGTGTGCTTCTTTATAAGACAACACAAAAGATAAACCCTTACCCAAGAACCTTCACTAAGAAAAAGTGATTTTTTACAGTCGGATTGATTTGAATGGCCATGAAAAACAGTTTGAATTATATTCGAACTGTGATGGGAAGCCACTGGAGGTTTTAAGAAAGAATTCACATGATCTCATCTATGGTTTTAAAAATACTACTCTGGCTGATGGCAAAGAATAGACTGGTGGGGGTAGGGGGCGGGCAGGAAGAACCAAAGTGGAAAGATCATTCAGAAAACGTTTATAGACTTGAACCCGGGGGTAATGAGAAGTGTTTGGACTCAGCCTATATTTTAAAGGTATAATCCGCAGAACTTGCTGGTTGTTTTGGGTGTTGGTGTGAAGTAAAAAGAAAAATCAACAGTGACTCATAGGTTTTTGCCTCGCTTCTGGATGAATGGTGGTGCCATGTAATGAGATAAATACAACTTAGGGAAGAGTAGCAGGTTCTAGAGGGAAATTCAAGAGCTCTGTTTTGGAAATGTTAAGTTTGAGATGCCTTTTAGACATCCAGTTGGAGATGTTAATAGACGTTTGGATATGTGCGTGTTGGAGTCAGGAGAGACAGAATTAGCAGTAATAAGCTGGATATCATCAGCATCATAGATTTAAAGCTATGAAACTGGAAAAATAATTTAGGGAATGAATATAGGGAGTGAAGAAAAGATATTTCAGATCTGAACATTAGAGCACTAAATGATTTAGAGCTCAGGAGGAGAAGGAACTAGCAAAGGAGAGTGAAAAATGAGCAGCTGGTGAGATGGGAGGAAAAGTATTATGTTCTAGAAACTAAATGAAGTATCTCAGGAAGAGTTACACAGATATTAGATTGAATGAAAGAAGCCACACACACACAAAATGCATAATTCATAATTCTACTTATAGGAAGTTCAGCAAAACAAAATTAATATATGGTGATAGAAGAAAGGGGTTGGGGGACAAGGAGTTGACAGGAAAGGGGCACATGGGTGGGAACTTTCTGGGGTAGTGGAGGTATCCTCTCTCATTTGGTGTGTTGTTTTATGGATGTGTATAATTGTTAAGGCTCATTGAACAGAACACTTAAGATCTGTATATCTTAGAAAAGGGGTTAAAACTGTCAAATGATGCTGAGAAATTACATAAGATGAGGACTGAGAATTGACTTGTCAGTGGGGACCTTGAAAACTGTAAGCTTTTTTTTGAAGATCATGTAGTAGAGAGACACTGTTGAATTAGAGAATAGAAGTCTTGGACATTTGATGGCGACTGAGGTAATGAGGGCTGCTTATGATTAGATTAGTTCTGATGGTTTCTTGGGGAAAGATACTTATCATTTCTCATCATAATCTTGTTCTTGAAATTGATCTTAATCCTTCCAGTGGTTTCTCATCACATTTCCAATAGCTCTATGACAGTCTGCCAGCCCTACAGAGTCTGGCTGTGGCCTACCCCTTAGCTTCTATAACCTACTCCTTGTCCTGTCATTCTCTCCTGCCGCCCATTTCACTTCTTTGCGATTTCTTGAACATTTTCTTTCTCTCTTTCATCATAGTACTATTCACTCCAGTTTGAGGATAGAGACTTTCTCTTCTTCCCTCTACTGTTTACCTTCTGGTACCTAGAACAGTGCCTGGTGCATAGATGTTCAGTAAATATTTGCTTGAATGAAGATAAATGGCAAGCTTCCCTAATGCCTTTAAAAGATGGGCTGACTTTCAAATAACTGTATTTTAGTAGTGGGTATAGCACAAACCAGGTTTCCATCACGATTTGGTTTTCTCCAACCACAAGAAAAAGCCTGAGGCATTAACATGTAATGGAAAACCAACTTTATAAAAGGAACTCAGGCCTGTTTTGAAATTTATGGTGAGGTGAGAATATTACTTAATTCATGGATTAAGCAATTAAAAAAATAACTTCATAGATCAAGTTAATAGTTCTGTTTTTATTGCCAGAACATTCATTTTTATGAGGTATGAGAACATTTATGACTTGTGATTTTTGTTTTCTAAATCAAATTTGCAATGATTATTCTTCATAGATAGCATTTAAGAAATGATTGTTACCTTTAGGGAGCTCCTTGTGTTTGCTTGGAAAGCAGAAGCTAAAATGGCAGTGGCAGTGGCAATGCAAAGTAAAAGTTAAAACTGACAGAAGTTACTCCAAGGTGGAACATGGTGAATTATGAAATCTCACTGGTGCAAATGGTAATTGTTAACCCAGTTTAAAACAATATACTGCTCAGCCCATGGAACGGTGTCATTCCTTTGTTCCTCAATAGCCATTCAAGGTCCCTGGGCCCATGGCATGGCCCTGTTATAACTAACATTTGTGTTTTCATTGTAGTTGTCGGACAAGTAACCGCAAGAGTTTGATTGTGACCTCTAGCACATCACCTACACTACCACGGCCGCACTCACCACTCCATGGACACACAGGTGAGTACTTGAAGGTTAAGAAAGGTGGAATGGCCCGGCCGGGCATGGCTCAGCGGTTGAGCGTCGACCTAGGATCCAGGCGATTGGGGTTCGATTCCTGGTCAGGGCACATGCCCAGTTGCGGGCTCGATCAATGACTCTCTCATCATTGATGTCTCTATCTCTCTCCCTCTCCTTTCCTCTCTCTGAAATCAGTAAAGATATATTAAAAAAAAAAGGTGGAATGAAATATGCCCAATTTCTTTCCTACGTCTCACTTTGTGCAATTCACATGACATTGTCACTTCAGTTTGCTGACTGAAGCATACAGAGCTCATGAGCATGCTTTCTGTGGGAGAATGTGTTCTGTCTGTTTTTGACTTAGTTGTTTCTTTCCTTGACTGTCCACATTTCTTTCGGTCTTGTGCTTGTTTATCTTGGGACTCAGTGTGTACTCTGGGCCACAGCCTCTGTTCTCGCGTGTTAAGAGTGTATTATGGCTCCAATTATCTGGAGCCATGTGATAAGAGCTCCATTAACATTTTGTCCTACCATGCCCAAATATTAAAGCTCACAGTGATGATTTCCTGCCTCATGGGATTTCTGATAACTTTCCCTCTGTTAGAACAGGAGTCAACAAAAATGAGAGAAGTATTTGTTTCATGGTGACATTGATTTCACATACTGGAATTGAAGCAAATGATCTCATGCATTCAGACTCTGTTTCATATGGCCTCCTCCAGACAATAGGAGGACTGATTTACTTGCCTCTGGCTGGGAAATATATAAAAATCATGAGGCAGAAGACCTCATTTGAGTTAGCCATGTATTTTGCTCTAGACATGAATCCTTGTGTCCCAGAAGAGCCAGATGAGGTGACTCAGCTTTGTTGAAAGGGGTGCTGCACTGCTATACTATTCATTGCTACACTATTTACACTGGAAGTTCCAGATCAAGGGGTAGTGGAAATGGAGCAGGCTTGAAACCATAGAAAGCCATTCAGAACTTGCTGCCTGGGTTTGGTAAGCAGTGGGCCTTGTCTGTCTTTGGGCAATAAAAGAATACCAAGTAGTGAAACAGTCATCATGAAGCCAAATAAGACAGGTATGTTCTACTTGGGTTTGTCTCTTTGCTCACAGTTTTTTGTGTCTTTGGAGGGAGAAAGTGAGAGTGCATGTGGAGTAGTTGTTTGAGTACTGTGAGAGTCTAGTGATTCTGAAATTGGTCTTTGTCCTTGACAGAGGGTCTCACTTTACTGGGCCCAGATCCAGCTATTTAGTGTGCTCATGGCCCTTCTCCAAGAATCAGTTAAACTCTCAAACACTAACTTTTACATTAGAGGACACTACCAAGAGCACAGAGTATGTGTGTGTGGGGGCAGCCCAGGGAATTTAAGACATGCTTGGCCTTTAAAGCAAAGATCTCATTGTGCTTAGGTAGTTTCCCCCATAAAATTGACTGGGTTATACATTAGCTCAGATAGCACATTCTACCCTGGAACTTTGTAAAAACTCAGCATATATCTGACCTGGCCTTTTCATCATATAGAAGTAAATTTAGCACATCTAGACCTTGTTCCAACTGTAATGTGAGTACTGGGCAGTAATTACTACTCACTGCTCCTCTCTAAGATGATTATCTCTCTATTTAGATTCCTGGCAGTTAGGGTTTAGGACTAAATCTCCCCTTCTCGCCTGGCTGGGCATGGCTCAGTGGTTGAGCTGACCTAGGTTGAGCTGGACCTAGGATCCAGGAGATTACTGGTCAGGGCATTTGCCCGGGTTGTGGGCTCGATCCCCAGTATGGGGCATGCAGGAGGCAGCCGATCAGTGACTCTCATCATTGATGTTTCAACTGTCTCTTTCCCCCTCTCCCTTCCTCTCTGAAATCAATAAAGATATATTTAAAAAACAAACAAACAAAGAATTAAATCGTCCCTTCTCAAGTGGCTAGGGAAAGCCATCATTGATTGAGGACATCATTAGACCTTTCGGCCTGCCTGGGTCTGTGGACTCTAGCTTTGACTTAATATCTGTAAAATGCTCAGTTACCATCATCATAAATGTTAGCTATCATTATTATCTCTCCTCAAATCACTGCAAAAAACCCAGGTGGATATCATTATATGTATCTACCATTATATTATGCAGATAGTTTCACTGTCCTAAATATTCTCTGTGCTCTGCCTACTCATCCCTCCTTTGCCCAAGCCTTGGCAACCACTAATCTTTTCACTGTCTCTATAGTTTTGCCTTTTCCAGAATGCCATATAGTAGTTGGAATCGTATAGTATAGTATAGCCTTTTTGGGTTGGTTTATTTCACTTATTAATATGCATTCCTCCATGTCTTATCATGGCTTCATAGTTCATTTTCTTTTCAGCACTGTATAATATTCCATTGTCTGGATGTAACAGTTTATCCACTCACCTAGTAAAGGATATCTTGATGACTTCTAAGTTTTGGAAATTATGAAGAAAGCTGATGTAAACATCTATGTGCCGATTTTTGTGTGGACTTAATTTTCAGTACAATTGGGAAAATACCAAGGAACATGATTGCTGGATCATATGGTTAAGGGTATGTTTAGTTTTGAAAGAAACTGCTAAATAGTGTTCCAAAGTGACTGTACCATTTTATATTACTACCAGCAACAAATGAGCATTCCTGTTGTTCTACATCTTCACCTGCATTTGGTGCTGCCAGTGTTTTGGAATTTGGCCATTCTGATAGGTTTGTAGTGGTATCTGCTTGTTTCAATTTACATATCTCTAATGATGTTGGACATCTTTTCATATGCTTACTTGCCATCTGTTTTTTTTATTTTTTAAAATTATTTATTAGTTTTAGAAAGAGAGAGAGAAGGAAACATCGATTTGTTGTTACATTATTTACTTATGCATTCATTGGTTGCTCCTTGTATGTGCCCTGACCTGAGATCAAACCCGCATCCTTGGTGTGGGATGTCCACACATTGGAATGACGCTTTAACCAACTGACAACTGAGCTACCAGCTAGGGCTATGTATACCATCTTTGCAGCTATTTTCCTGTTAGTGTTAATTATATGGGACATATGTATGTTCTATTAATCCCTAGCTTTACTGTGAGCACCTGGAAGATTCCTCATATTCTACCCTCTAACCAGTACCACACCTGGTCCTTGGAAGGCCAGTCATTGTAGGAAAGTCATGTCCAGGATTTCCTTGAGGTTTTAGCTGAGTAATTTTGGGAACCAATAAAGGGCATCTACCTTTACATGTCAAGGATCAAATTGAGGATATGTGTTAGTCCGTGAGGTGACACTATTGGAAAGAGTAGAGATTTTTTTTTTAAGGCCTTGATAATTCTGAGGAGGCCTTATCCTTGTTAAGTCTTGGCTAACAAAACAACGACTCCAAATCACTTCTCTTGCACCATGGTGGCTTGTGCTAGCCAGGAGATAGAAATAGATCATAGGACATAGGCCTGATCATAGGACATAGGCCTAGATCCACAGAATGGAAAATCCGGAGTTGGTACTAGGTTGAGAGCAGATCTGCTTCAAAGGTTGTGCACTGAGGGTCCCAGTTAAGGGGATGAGTGAAAGCTGAAAATGACTCTTCCTAATTAGTTCTCCCAAAGAGAGTGCCTTTATATAATTGATACAGAGTTGCTACATAGGATTGTTGGGCATTGTTTGAGAGACTGGTTTTTCCTGGATAGTTACAGAAAAACATTAAGTGCTCCCAGACTCTGTTGGATGGAGATAATGGGAAACAATTGGGCAGCTTCATGGCACCTTGGGACATCTATATCCTTTACAGGAAACAGACTGTCGAGTTGAGCACAGAAATGAGAATGTGGACAGGGACTGGCTGAGTGGTCAGCACTCATGGAGGATGGCCTTTTGAATAGAGACACATTGTAGCTTCTGCCAGCTAGGGACTCTTGATAACCAGCCCCCAGCTGGAAGTTAGACCAGAGAAGCATAGCAAGCTTAGGTTGGAGAACTATTGTGACTAGTGCAAAGGGAAGCACACAGTTCTGTTCAAAGCTTCTGAGCTGTAGTTAGCAAGTTACAGGGGACTTGTAATTAATGTGAAAATTAATAAGGAAATGCGGGTAATGCCTACACCGTGAGGAGGTTGAGCATGCTTTGCAAACTTGGGGGCCTTGTGTATGGGCTATTTTAAAGAACGCTGCTATCCTAAGTCCTCACCTGAGAACTTCAGTTTCCTTGAAGCACACATATTTCTGGGTTAGCCCCTTGGATGCAGGGTGCAGAGATATATGTGCAAGAGGCTTTTGGACCAGGAGTGCTGTTGCCCTTTGAGAAATGTTTGAGCGTTTGGCCATTCCATCTGTAGTGAATGAGTTCTTCAAGCCTTTGGAAAGTTGGGTTAACTCAACTAGGCATATTGGAACCCGAGGTGTTCCTAGGAGGGCAGGAAATTGGCAAGTTGCTGCTGGATCTAGAATGGATGTCTGGGAGACAGCGATGTCTAAAGACAACTAGGGTACAAGGGAGAAACCTCTGGGCCGCCACACTTTTACAGAGAGAGAATCATTAAACTAATGGTGGGCCTGAAAAAATAACCATATGTGCTAATTGCCAATGCTAGGGGAAGATTTCTTCCCTAAAGGTTTTCTCAACCCCCCTCAGAAGCAAACCTCACAAAATGTTTATTTTCCTTTCCCCATCCGCAGGTAACAGTCCTTTGGACAGCCCCCGGAATTTCTCTCCAAATGCACCTGCTCACTTTTCCTTTGTTCCTGCCCGTAGGTAAGTGGATAGAAAACCTCCTATGTGACTAGCATGTGTGGCACTTGCACGAACGTCAGTTAATGTCAGCTTCCTCCTTTGAGGCACTGCTCTTCCAAGTGTGTTACCTTGGGCTACCAACCACCAAAACTCTTTCCTTGCTTTCCTCACCTGGATTCAAGTTTTGCTTTCTATATGTTCTAGGTATTTGCATTTGAATGTTTGAATGGGCAAGTAGATATTAGGTATGGATTTATTTTTATAATTCTAAGCACAAGTCCCTGGTTTCCTGAAGAGTGTGTTCCAAAACATTAATTATACTCTCTATTGAGAGCTATTCCTAGCATGATCAATGAGAAAGACAATGGGCTCTTTTCCCAGGAGGACCCACAGTTCTGTTTTTACTCCTCTAACTCAGCCAGTTCCAAGGAGCTGGAAGAGGCCTTATATGCCTCCTCTCCTTGGGGATAAAGAGACTACCACATCTTCACTTACCCTCCCATTCATTTAGAAAGATTTGGTGCATTACTGAGCCATCCTTATATTCCTCCTCACATTTCAAGTCCCTGGAACTGATGTAAATTTATCTCTGGCACATGGTAGCAATCCTGACAGCTCAGCCCATTGCCAGGTGTTACCTGGTTTCTGGAGAAATACTAAGCTGACAGAAATGAGTCCATCCCATCTACATACCAAGGCTCCATATACAAATAATTTACTTTTCAGAACATTTTCTAAAATTATTTCTTGGCAGAGTTCATGTTCTTTGATTTTATTTTTTATTTTAAAAATATTCTTGGTTAGAATCAGTCTCTGACATGAAGACCTCCAGAAAAGCTTAGCTTCAGATTTGGAAAAATAACCATGTGTGTTAAACAGGTTTAATGAATAGAGAATGATGTATACAACTTGACCCAGAATTTTATACTTAGAATGCTTTTAAAAGAGATAACAGAAAAAGAGCAGATTCCTTGAAATAGCATTAATTCACCACTCACAGGACAACTCAGAAGCAACCTACCCCCTTCCTCTTTAGGAGTTTGTGTATCTGAAAAGACATGGATGGTTGGGAGAAGCTTGATGCCTGACTTGGGTTCCCCTTCTGACCCAGTTGCCTTATTCTGAACAAATATTATCTGAGTATAGCTCAAGGACTCATCTCTCCTATCCTGTGTAACTTCTAATTAGTTAACCGAGGACCCAGGTAGGAACACTTAACAGTAGAGGAATGTGCTATATTGGTGCATTTGTTTTCCAGCCCAGCTGGAAGGTCTTACTTATTCCAAACTTCCTGCCTTGACTGTGTGTGAACTGTAGCCTCAGATTAGGTATGAGCTGGGAGAGCAAGGCCTGTGACTGATCTCTGTAAATGTCATTGAGTCATTTCCCATTCATTCAGTAAATATTTACTGAGCACCTAGTATGCCTAGGCAGTATGCCGATACTTAGTTATATAGTGGTAGCAAAATCGACATAACCCCCACTTTCTTGAAACTTAGTAGAGTCTGTGTAGTCCTTATTCCCTTTGTAGGGAATGCTGTTCCCTCAGCATTCCTTAACTCATCCTTGTCTTTCACTTCTCATCTTAAATGTCAACTCCTCAGAGAGGCCTTCCTTAACCATGCACTTAAAGGAGCCCCCTCGTCATTCTCCATCAAATCGTCCATTTTTATTTTCAAGCTAGTACTTTTCAATACCTGATATTTTCTTATTTGCTTGTTTTCTATTTCCCCTCCACCAGAATCAAAGTCCCTTTAATAGAGATTCCTTAATATGTTGCAAACCATGTATCCTGAAATGAGCGCTCAGTCAGTGCTCTTGATGAATGGGCAATGAACAAGCAAACAGACAAACACATAGTTAAGAACTGTGACAGGTACCGTGAAGGGAAAGAGCATGATGCTGCATGAGAGTGTAGGACGGGAACGGGGCTGGAGAATCTCTACTGGTTGGTCATCATGTAAGGCCTCTCCGGAGGACTGACTTTTCAGCCAAGACCTGAAGGATAGGAAGGAGCCTGCATGCTGGGAATGATGGTGCAGGCATGCCGGCCGTTCCAGGCAGGCGGAATAGCACATTCCATTGGTGCCCTTGTACCTGCTTCATTCCCTGGGCTGTCGGAGTAGGATCAGCTATGGGGCTTTGGGTCCTAGTATTACCGCTCAGATCCCAACGGGTCTGTGCTAGGTGGCATGAAGTTTGAGTCATATGCAGGGAACATGGAACCCTGGGCTGTCCCCTTATAAGGGATACTAGGAAAAGCAGCTGGGTATTGGTGGGGGTGGGGAGGAGCATTTCAACCCTGACAAACAAAGTACTTAGGAATTGTGTTTCCTAGATTACTGAGGTCAGGCTTGAGCCTTACAGGTCATATTAGTTTGGAATATCACACACAAAAAAGATTTAATGACATGCTGAGGATAGGTCCATCAGTCCTACAATTTTATTTCAAACTACACAAGTTTCTAAACAGAAGGTAGTCCTACAATTTTATTTCAAACTACACAAGTTTCTAAACAGAAGGTTTGCCTTTACTAAGCTTGACCAAATGCCAGAGGCCAAACAGATCAGTCTCTCTGGTTCCCTTTGATTCTCACTATAATGTATGTCTTTTCACTACAGCCATGGCCACAGAGCAGACAGGTAATAGCGGATGTGATGGGGCAAGGGGCTGGGAAACTGCTATGCATGGCCAGACAAAATCGTTTTGTGCTTGGTGACAACTGGTGTGCTGAGTCTTCTCTGACTGTGGGTAGAAACATTTCACCTTTCATAACTAGCACAGAGGCCCTAAGAGAGCCCCTCTAGCTGCTGGAACCAAGGCTCAGAGCTCAGATGCTTGGAGGCAGGAATTGCTAAATAGTTGAAAGCGTCTGAGCCTAGAGACAAGTCACCCTCATTCCCACAACTTTCCTTCGTCATCCAGTGAGATGACCAGGCAGGGGAAATGAAGGCATCCTATAGTGACATTTCTTTCTGACTCTGGTGTTCCCTGCTCTTCAGTTTACAGAAAAATGGTTGTCATGCAATTGGTTTCTATTTCTAACTAAAGGAGGAAAAGTCACCTTGAAAAAGTGTACTTGATAAAGGTTTGGGAAATCCCTCCCCTAGTTAGACTAGTCCCATCTTTACTGAGCTGTTTTCCTGGAACTGATTTGCTTTCTTGTGTAGAGCTCCCAGGACCCAACAAAGAGGTTAGAAAGAACATCGTTTTGAGCAGTCTCCTGGACATTTCTATGCCTCAGAGACTAGGTTCCAGCAGAATGGCTGCCTGGGTGGCATGGAGTTTGAGTCATGTGCATGTGGCATGGAACCCTGGGCTATCTCCTTACAGAAAGTAGTAGGAAAAGCTGCCAGGTATTGGTGAGGGTGGGGAGGAGGGCTTCAAAAGGAGAAGCCCTAGCAAGGGTGATTCTTATTTTTCATTCCTCCTCTCCCTTTCTCCCTCCACCCCTCTTAACTGTGAAGCCTGGAACAAATCACCCAAATCTGGGTGTCTTAGTGTTTTCTCTGAAGACTGAGGTTATTGACCTTAACTTATAAAGGTCTTCCATTGCTAATGTCCTAAGGTTCTGTGGGTAGCAGCAAAGAAGTTTTTCTTCAACTTCAACCAGAGCAGGCTATACCCCCAGTCTCCACAAGAACAAACACTTGTATTACCGCACATCCACAGTCCAGGAAAGAATTAATTGTTTGTGTTATTAAAGCTTCAGACCAGATACCTGCTTTTTTTTCCAAAAAAACACAACACAGCAAAGCACATTACTGTGGTTCTCTATGGTGAGAGCTTAAGGGTGCATCCCCCCAAGAGCAGCAGGAAGCCTGCCTCTAAAACCTCATGAACAGCCAAGGCTGTGCCAGTGCATTCCTGTTTCATAAGTTATTGTCACTCTTTGGCAAATATTTTCCAAGACTGGTTTTGTGGGTCCCACTGATCCTAACTAGCCTTTGACTATTAGCCATCGATTGGAGTCATGAATTCCTTTTTAGTCAGAGATGTCTGTCTTTACAGCGGAAAACACACAATAGGCCATGTAGGAGAGAGACAAGAGAGCATGTCCTGGACTAAGCAGTGCTGTCTTAAGACAAGGAAGTGAACCAACTGCCCAAAACAATGCTGATGGAAAGACAGGCAGGTCCTAAGCTTAGGGTGGGGTCCCATAGAAACTGCCTAATAGTCTTTTCTTACATAGGACTGATGGACGGCGCTGGTCTTTGGCCTCTTTACCTTCTTCCGGCTATGGAACCAACACTCCTAGCTCTACTGTCTCAGTAAGTAGCCAAATCCGTGGCTGTACTTCCTTCATCCTTAGGAAACACTTCCCTGAGTTATTGGTCTCTGTCCCTACAGTGTTACAAAGTGGTTCTCAACTTTTCCTCTAAAGCCAAACACAAAGAGGTTGCTTAGGGATGAGGTTGAATGGGGTAGAGGCTGGTGGCCCTTTACAGCCATAGCCAGATCCATTTAAAAATAAAAATGCCTGCCCTGGCTGGTGTGGCTCAGTTGGTAGAAGTCACCAATTCATACCCCAGACAAGGCACTTGCCCAGGTTGTGGGCTCTATCCCCAGTAGGGGACATGCAGGAGGCAGCTGATCCATGTTTTTCTCTCTCCCCCTCTCCCTTCTTCTCTCTCTAAAATTCATAAAAAACATATTTAAAACAAACAATTTAATTTAATTAAATAAAAATCAAAAGCCTTTGGAAAGAATTAGCATGCTCTCTGGGCATCATTTATTCCTAGTGGAATCAGAGGAGGGCTTGAAGAAGGAGTTTTGCTAATGAGGCCAGGCAGTAGGGCTCCTAAGCATGGTTTCCCACTAAGAGCAGATAACCCCTTAGATGTCCCAAAGGCCTGATAAACCCTCCTCCTCCCTTTTTGCTTTTTCCTTTCAAAAAAGAAGGGAAGGATAATTATTATTTGATATTTAAATTTGATGTGTCTCAGCAAAAAAAGCTGGGTCCATCTCTAAAATTTCTTAATTATGTTTCTTTTAGAGAACTTTTTAGCCTAAAACACAACAGATGTCCTAATTGCTACTATGCACAATTAATCCTAAAATGAGTCTTCCTCATTAAGCAACTCTTAATTGAAGTCACGATGACAGGGTTGGCAAATTTTTTTTTGTAAAGGGCCAAGTAGTAAGTATTTTAGGCTTTGTAGGCCATGTAAAATCAGGCCATAGACTGGATGACCTTTTCTCCTTGTCTTCCACCATTCTTCAGGTCTTCTCAGTTTGTCTATATTCAGGAATGCCAAGCAGGTAAAAGGAGTATCATTTCCTCCCTTGACGTTGATATTACTCTTAAATTAATCTAAAGATCTCATTGGTCTTTTGGCAGCTGTTAAGCTTCAGACCTTTCCTTATTAAACACCCCTTTCCCCATAATTTTTTATAACAGATTATAAAAAATGAAAGTTGCCCGGCCAGGTGTGGCTCAGCAGTTGAGCATCGACCGAGGATCCAGGAGATTGTGGTTTGATTCCTGCTCAGGGCACATGCCAGGGTTGCGGGCTCAATCCCCAGTCAGGGGCCTGCAGGAGGCAGCCGATCAATAACTCTCTCATCATTGATGTTTTTATCTCTCTCTCTCCCTCTTCCTTTCCTCTCTCTGAAATCAATAAAGATATATTTAAAAAAACACACTGATAAAGTATCCCAATAAAATAAATTAGAGCAATGGGTTGAGTCTATTAAAATTTACTAAACAGAATATATACATATTTAATATATATGACTCCTACCTTGGGTCTAAAAGAATAATCCGTTGCCTCCCGCATGCGCCCTGACCAGGAATTAAACCCACCACCTTTTGGTGTACTGGACGATGCTCCAGCCAACTGAGCCACGCTGGCCAGGGCCAGTGTTTTCAGGTCAAATCTAATCTTTTAGAAATCTAAAAGTAATCCAGATCTAAAAGTCATTTTCTTCCCTACTAGATTTTTTTTGCCTACTGATGTCCCTAGAGTTTGGGCACAGCCTTCATAGCCTCAGCAAAGCCAATTGTCCTCTGGATAACAGCCAAAAGGAAACATTGCTGAACTGCCCCAAGGGCTCTGCCAAGGTTGTGGAAGGAAAACTTAAGGGAATATCATTTATAGCCTGGGTGTGCAAATTTCCTAAGCCAGAAAGCATGATTTATTAATTACTTGCCATTCCAACTAGCCAGAAGCTTCACTGAGGGCAAAGGCTCCATGTAGAAGAATTTTTTTTTTTTGTTAAATATATCTTTATTGATTTCAGAGAGAGGAAAGAAGAGCGAGAGAGAGAGAGATAGAAACATCAATGATGAGAGAGTCATTGATCAAGCCTGCAACCCAGGCATGTGCCCTGACCGGGAATCAAACCCCGATCGCCTGGATCCTAGGTCAACGCTCAACCGCTGAGCCACGCCCGGCCGGGCTAGAAGAATTTTTTTAAGATTTTTTTTCTGCTTCTGTAATTTTTATTTTTTTATTTTTTGTTGTTGACAGTATTACAGATGTCCCCCAATTTTCCCCTCCTTAGCCCCCCTCCTCCCAGTCCTTGCCCCACCTCAGGCCTTCACCACATATTGTCTGTGTCCATTGGTTATGCATAGATGTATATAAGATCTTTGGTTAATCTCTTCCTGTCTCCCTAAGATTTTTATTTTTAATTGACTTTTAGAGAGGAAAGGAGAGGGAGAGAGAGAAACATTGATCCATGTCAAACCAGTAACCTTTCAGTGCATGGGACTACTATGCTCAATCAACTGAGCCACACTGGCCAGGGCAGAAGAACCTGCTTTTTGCCACCTAAAGAGGCTCGCTAGCTAGTTAAGGTGCTCTCACATCACATGACAAGTTCTAACTTGCTGCAAGGCTTGGGAAGCACTCTGATGTCTTGGCTTTCTCAGGAGGCTTTCTCAGGATTGAGGGTCTGAAGGGGTAGAGATGAACAGGATCATGAACAGTGGCGGCTAAAGGCAGCAATGGAAAAAATGCCTACTTTGGGTTGACTTTGGGTTTACATTGACTGGGAAGTCCCTTCCTTTTTCAGTTCTTCGTTCCTGGACTGCCCTTAGATGTGTCTTTAATGCTGTATTTTAATATTTTCCCCTCTAGTCATCATGCTCCTCACAGGAAAAGTTGCACCAGTTGCCCTTCCAGCCTACTGCTGATGAGCTGCACTTTTTGACGAAGCATTTCAGCACAGAGAGTGTACCAGACGAGGAGGGAAGGCAGTCCCCAGCCATGCGGCCCCGTTCCCGCAGCCTCAGGTGAGGGGTGCTCTGCTCACTGAGCCCCAGGACCTGTGGAGCCCAGCTTATTTGCACAGCACAGGAGTCAGCAAACTTATTCTATAAAGGGCAAGATAGTAAATAATTTAGGTCTTGTAGGCCATACAATCTCTATGTCAGCTATTTAAATCTGCTGTTGTAGTGTGAAAACATCCTCAGACATTACGTAAACTTTATTTACAAAAACAGGCAGTGGGCCAGAATTAGTCTTTGGGCCATAGTTCATCAACCCCTGGCTTAACACATTGATACAGCCCAAAGTGAAGTGAATCTCAAGCTTTCTGGCGTGGGTACAGCTCAGCTCACCACCCCTAGAGGTACCTATTGATGCTGTCAAGTGGTCCCCCTCTTTCTCCCTTTGAAAGTAGTTAGCAGTAGAAATGTACTTTAGAGTCCATTCAGTAAAAGGAGAGTAATAGTATCCATTCTGATGGTTACCTGGATGCAGATCCCAGAGGCCCATAGTTTATGAACTAAGCCAGCTAAAAAAGTTGCTGCTGAAGACCCTGTGGCTGAATTGGGAAAAAAGCCCACTTCAGAAGCAGAGTTAAATGTCCATCTGACTCTGTCTCATTTCCCTGAATGACCTGAGCTCATCAAACCAAACCTTAACGGCTGATTTATCTTAGATCTGTGAATTCCTTAGATTAATTGGCTCTTCTCAAAATGCCAGGTTAAAGGAAGAGGGTATAAATTAAAATGAGCATGGCTTTTAAAATGAGTATGCTATTGAATTTATTGGGATGACATTGGTTAATAAAATTATATAGGTCTCAAGTGTACAGTTCTGTAGTACATCATCTGTATATTGTATTGTTTGAAAATAAGCATGACTTTAATGACTGAGCTCAGCTTCCCAAGGTCTCTGGGAAATAAATTGGCTAATATTCAGGGTGGGGACCCAGAGGAGCAGTGCTTCCCAGGAAGAATCTGCTCAGGTAATGGTGGCACTGTGAGTGTTAGGGAGTGAGCTGGGCCAGACCATAGACTAGTTTAAGTTCAGGGATTGATGAAGATGGCTGGGACTGTAGTGCAAAGGATCAAAAATACAAATGAGTGAACGTGGAGTGTGGATCCCAGTGAAGAAGACCCAGAGAGCCCTGTTCTGGGGGAGGTCACCCTAGGAAAGCCACCAGGAGACTCAGGACTGGTCTCCTCCTTTGCAGGCCTTTTCAGGCCCTGGCAGAGGTCTTGTAAATGCCAAGCTTCTTATAGGAAGGTAGCCTAGCTCCAGATGACATCATTTTGAGCTGAACAAGGTGCACTAGCAGCTCCAGGAATAAGGAAGGTTCTGGAACTCAGCACTCACTAAGGTGGGAGTGTGGGGGTACTGGGGACAGTGGGAGTGCAGGGGTTCTGGGGATGACCATCTTTTTTCTCTCAAGTTCCATGGCACTAAAATAACACAATTGTTTCTTTCTTATTCAGTCCTGGACGTTCCCCAGTTTCCTTTGACAGTGAAATAATAATGATGAATCATGTATACAAAGAAAGATTCCCCAAGGTAAGGATCCATTCTAAAGGACACTGGTAATGCCTCTGAGGATGGCTGCCTACAGCCAGCGCCAATGGGAAGACTGGGGTGAGGGATGGAGTGCTGTTTCCAGAGATAATCAAGAAGAAGAGCAGAAAGGCACCAAAAGGAGGAGAGGATACGAGCACAAGGGCTTCCAGCATGCCGGGGAGGAGGAAGGCGCAGAGAACTATGAGTTTCGGGATTGTACTTGTAGGACCTCTATTTCCCCACTCCCCAGAGGGAAATGTCAGAAAGGAATTCCACCATGTATTAGTGGGGAAGGAAGGGACTGGAGACCTTATTTCTCACTGTGCACATCATGATCTATAAGTCAGGGTTCCCCCAGAATGGGATTTGCACTGAGAGCACTTTTGTTCATGCACATTTCATGTGCAGCCCCACTGCTGGGCACCAGGGAGCACAGACAGGTATGCTGGACTGGGGAAGTTGGCCAGAGAGAGCAAGAATGTGGGAGACAGATCTCAAGAGTTGCTTACTCATATTTGCATTTGTGTTTTCAAGTCAGAAAATGCTGAGGGAGGAAAGTAGGTTACTATCCTGAGATAGTTGAGAAATAGTCTTCCCAGCTCTGCAGTTTGGCTATAAACCTCCTTGTATGTGGACCTAGGACCCTGCTTCCCATTTGCATTTCTTTTTGAACATCACATGCCTGTACTCTCTGACCTGTCCTGATGATGGGCCCTGTTCCTGCAGAGCACAGCCAGCTCTGTCTGCCAGAGCTAGGGCACTGCTGTAGGCTCCTGGTCCATGATAGCAGGGAGCGGGCATCCTCAGCCTCCTCCAACCTCTGTTTAGACCTCCCTGGGTCCTAAGGTCAAGTGATAAATCAGATTTTCTCTGACTTGAAGGAGTTCCCAGTTCAGAAGGTTTAGAAACCATCAGTGTCCATTCACTAAGTGTATATGGTTGAAGGTCCTGTAGAAGCACAGAGAAAAGAAACCCCTAGTTTGCCTGAAGGAATCAGAAACTTCCCAGAGGAGAGATGATGCTTGAAATGAGATTAGAAGGAATAATAGTAGTTTGCCAGGCAGGCTTGGCAGAGTGAAAAAGCTACACACAGGAAACGGCATACTAAAGGACAGCAAACACTCCAGTGTCCTTAGAGCAAGAGAGCATGCCCACCAAGGAGTGTGCAGAGATGGACAAGGCCAGGTGAGAGAGGAATTTGATTATAATGTTTTGACTTGCTTTGAAGGCAGTCTTCTCATTTCTCCAGTCATCAGGTGCCCCAATTACAACATCAGAAAATAAGAATCACAGAGCCCATCCTTAGACTATTACTGGGTCCTTCAGGCTTAGCCTCAGCCAAGCAAGAACTAGAAGGGAAGTGTCACTTTTCCTATTTTTATTCCCAGGCCACTGCACAAATGGAAGAACGCCTGGCAGAGTTCATTTCCTCCAACACTCCGGACAGTGTGCTGCCCTTGGCAGATGGAGCCTTGAGCTTTATTCATCATCAAGTGATCGAGATGGCCCGAGATTGCCTGGATAAATCTCGAAGTGGCCTCATTACATCACAGTACTTCTACGAACTTCAAGAGAATTTAGGGAAACTTCTGCAAGATGTGAGTGTCCTTGTGCTGTGGTAGTGGATTAGTAGTTCCAAGCTAAGATTAAGGCATTAGTGGGGTTCCCAGTCTTCCCAGCCTGCTGCCACCTCCTTGCTAGTGTGCAGGACCCACCCCCAAGTGTCGTCTTGATGGACTTGGGTTCCTCCTCAGTCCCCTGCAATACTGAGAAAGCCTGTTAGATATCAGAAGATCTCGGTTCTGTGTGCCCTTTCTCCTCTAATTCCAATTACTCTACCTGCGGCACCAACATTGGTAGTATTCATAAGTATTTGACTAGGAGATTTGTAACTCAAAGCCAAAATGTGGCCCCAGTGGCGGTGGGTAGCTCTCTTCTAGTAGAAATATTGGTGTAAGCAGAGCATTCAGATTGTTTCTCCTCAGCCAAGGGAAAGTAGGCTCAAGGCTTGCACTATGGGTTTATCTATTATACTTGCAGGGTAAGAAGTTCTTTAGTGGAGACTTTAGTGTTTAGAGACTTGATCTCCCCAGTGTGAAGTCTCTGGGGGGCTAAAGGTAAAGTAACCCAGAGGTGGTCAAGACCAGAGCGGACACTGAGTTCTTAACCACTGCTCCATGCTCCACTGCTCGCTTGCCTGTTGCCTCTCCAGTAAGGTGGGCAGATGCCTTCCCACTCAGTTCACAGTTGCCCCATGTTACACCATTAGTCCAGTTTCAGTGAGAGGAGATGCGCCCCTATCCTCAGGGCTCTTCAGGTCAGTGGAGTATTTCCCAGTGTGGACCCCGTTTCCCTCCTGGCCTTGCTCTGGTATAGACCAGCTGAGCTGAGAACCCCGGGGTAGTGATCAAACAGAGCTTCAGTGTATCAGTCTAGAAATCAGGAGCAGGGAATTTTTTTTAAAGTGTAGGAAACAGTTGAAAGGATGACTAAAGATGATCATAATTATTGCTATCAAATATTGGAAGATTTCTCACATATAATAGGTAGCTGATTGTTCTCTGTCCCTTAAAAGGCATACTAGCCCAGTGAGCAAGAGTTACAGTGAGAAAGGTTCTGAGTTAATAGATGAGAAAGTACTTCTACAAAAATATTTTCTTCTGATTTCAAAAGAATACTTAAATCTAAACATTGTATAAATATGACTTTAGAAAACTAAAGTCTCATGAAAATCATTGGCAGCTGTTCAAGATTTGTTCCTGTTCAAGAATAACTTTCTAACAGTTCTCCAGTAGTGGAGAGGAATCAGGGATTTACGGCATCAGGTAAAGGATCAACATAGGGAGACTTCCAAGGTTGCTTGTACATCTACGGTTGATCTGAAATGCTACCTTCAGAGCCCTGCCCAAAACCTTCAGGCATTTTCCATCATCGCCCCTGGGCGTCCATTTTTTGGTGCAGTAGGAAGAGCCCTGAAAGTGGAGCCAGTGTATCTATCATCTGTTCCCTAATTTGTTAGGCCCTGGGAATGCAGAACAAGTTCAGTGCAGGTTCTAGCTCAATGAATTTGCTGGTGACTGGGGTTACAGCCCCCTCAACATGTACTTACAGTAAAACGAAGTCAGTGTGGTTGATGAGGTGAGTTCTGAGCACAGAGGAGGGTGCAGTGATGCTACGTGGAGAGCTCAGGAAAAGCTGAGTCCTGATGAGTAAGTAGGAATTCACTAGGCGAGGACACAGTATAAACAGCCTCTCAGAGGTGTAAAGGAACCTGGTACATTCCAGGAGCTGCAGATAAAGTAGTTTGGCATGAGCAAAGGGAAGGGTACCTGCAGGGCAGAGTTACAGATGAATTTGAAGAGTTAGACGGGGGTGGGGAGGCAGCAGAGCTTGAAGGGCCTTGTGAGGAGCTTAGAGTTTAACATGAAGGCAATAGGGAATCACTGGATGCTTTTAAATTGAAAAATGACATAAGAGTTAGGTTTAAAATAATAAAAATTGCTATCATTTTGAATACTTAATACCACTAGACACTACATTATCTCATTTAATTATCCAACTTAATCTTCACAAGAATACTGTAAGGAAAGTACTATTATTATTCCCTAAATCTGCAGATGAGGAAAACGAAGGCTTAAGGGACTAAGTCAACCCAAGGTAACTCATTTCCCTTTTTTTAATTAAATTATTTTTATTGCTAAGTTAACTGACAAATGTTAGAGAAATTCACTATTACTATTAAAAGGCAGAAAGCTTGGTACATACTGTTTAGGAATTGCTGCCACTCACATAACTGTTTAGATTTTATTCGGAGGTTAACAGAAAGAGGAGGCTTGCACTTAAGCTAATGATTAACACAATGTAATATTTTAAACTAGAATTTTTAAACCACTCCAAGGTAACTCATTTCTTAAGTAACAGAGCTATACCCCAAACCCAGGTTTGACTTATTGCAGAACTTAAGATCATACATTTTCAAACACTTAGTCAAAAAACATTGACTGACATCTGCTGTGTAAGAGGCACTATGCTAGGCTTAGCATGTGAGGGAAGAAACAAAGAAGACAGCTTTCAATTCACAGGCCCTACAGGGTAGCTGTGGAAGCACAACTAATTACAGGTAATGCGACAGGGCCTTGTGGTCGGAGCAAACAGCTGGGAGAACATAGAGAAGGGAGCAGTTACTGCTTGTTCTTCTTGGGGGGGTGGGGGACTTAGATGAGGCTTCACAGAGTTGATATTTGAGCTAAGTCTTGAAAGAATAAACAAGATTTCACCAAGTGCCCAGCCTCTCTTTTTATCTCATAGCTAATATTTTCCATATGGTCCTCATTTGCTGGTTTTCTTTCCTTACAGCCCGTTCACCGCTCAGCCTTCCACCTTCTACTTTCCCTTCCCGCCATTCCACTAAAACTGTTTCAGGCAGAAATCACCAAGGAACTAATTGGCCAGTTGCCAAAGCCTATGACTACTTTCAGCTCTCATCTTTCTTCACCTCTCTGCAGAACATTACACAGTGAATACCTCTCCTTAACCCCCCCACTGGTTGTCATGACCCTGTTCTCCCCAGTCTTGCAGACTTGCTGTCCCTTCACAAGTTCCTTCTCTTAAATGCGATATTCCACAGGGCACCATCCTGAGCGTCCATTCCCCTCTTTCTCTTCTTCACACTCTCCCACTCCATGGCTTCAGTTGTCACCCACATGCCGAGGACTCCCACCTATGGCCTCTTCTCCCCCTTCACCCGAGCTCCAGATCAGTGCTCCAGATGGTTAGTATTCTCCAGTTGCGAGTAATAGAAACCCAACTCAGTGTAGTTCAAGTAGAAAAGGAAACTAGTTATAAAAGGGGTGGAACATTGAAGATAGAAATGCAGCCAGGCCGTAGGAAGGGACCAGAACTAGAAGCCAGAACCTCTGAAAGCCCAGGAAGCAGTCATCCTCCTCTCATCTCTCTTTTGCTCTGTGCTTCTGTTTCTTTATCTCCTTGGTAGATGTGGCCATCCCTTTTCACTCAAGAGTAGATTATGTAGTTCTGCCACACTAATAGTAATGGCTGTCTTTCCATGCATTTTTAAATTCCTAGGAAAGTAATCCACACTGGTCAGCTATTGGATGTGGGGAGGAAGGTGAAACAACGCAATACAAATGTGGCTCCTAGAAGGCAGAACAGTTTCCATAACAAAGAGAAAGGCTCCTGGCTGAGCAAATACCCAAGAAAGTACCTGTTAGAGGCACTGCAAACTCTGCAAGTCCAAAACAGAATTTATATTTCCTATTTCATTTATGGGTTCACTGAAATTCCTCTAAAATTGTAGTTGCAGTTACCTTCTGTTCCTGCTCATCCACCTTCAGATCTACTCAGTCATCTACCTCCAAAGTGGTAGATGAAATGGCCCTAATCTATCCATTTCTCTTCATTCTTACTGCCTGAATTTATGCCTTTTTCATCTGCATTATTGCAATAGCCTGTTAATGGGCTTTCCTGCTTTCAGGCTTGCCCTCTTTAGTGCACCATTCCATTCACACTCCAGCCAGAGTGGTCTTTCTAAAACACCTATGTGGCTTGGCCAGTGTGGCTCAGGGTTAGAGCACTGCCCACCCCCTCCCTGCATGGAAGGGTCCTGGGTTCCATTCTCAGTCAAGGGCATGTACTTGGCTGCAGTACCTGGGTTGCAGGTTCAATCCCCAGCCCCAGTCAATGTGTCTCTCTCACATTGTTTCTCTCTCTCTCTCTCTCAACCCCTCTCCCCCCCCCCTTCTCTAAAAATCAATGGGAAAAAATATACTCAGGTGAGGATTAACAAAAATAACAATAAAAATAAAACACCTGTCTGGTCACATCACTCTCCTGCTTGGAAGTCTGTCTATTCCTGACAGTGTGTCTGGGGTGGAAAGTGAACATCAGTGAAGGTTCTATTGAGAGTTACCCCTTAAGCTGGCGTCTGGAGGGTAAGCAAAGCTTGTTAATGGAGGAGCAGGTAACGCAGTGTGTCTGTGTGACATTCCTTGGTGTCACGTAGGCTTCTAAGGCTCACATGGTTCCAACAAGCCGCCTGTTCACTCTCACAGCCCACTGGCCTTCGCTGTGTTCTTTGCTTTGCAGAGCTCTCCTTACCACCAAATTGTTTCTCCCTTTAGTGTAGCTCTGCCCAGCCCAGTCCTGCTTAGCTCAACCACTCTGGGCCAGTGGATTGCTTAAGCAGCCTTTGTCTTCTCTACAGGCTCATGAGCGCTCAGAGAGTTCAGAAGTGGCTTTTGTGATGCAGCTGGTGAAAAAGCTGATGATCGTCATTGCCCGCCCAGCTCGCCTCCTGGAATGCCTGGTGAGTGGACTCCCGGAAAGTTTAGTAGGGGATGGAGAGGTGGGAGTGGGGCTATAGAGGAATATTCTGCTGTCAGCAAAACTAGTGGCACCCACTGCCATTTCTGCTGCCGAAGTCCATTTTTAAATATGATATGCAAGCATTGGGGGACCAAATGAGTTCTTTTGAGGAAAACTGGATGGTCCTGAGGGGTGTGGCAGGGAGAGGTACTAGTCTGGCCCAGCCCTACACTGAGCAGGCCTGGGTCAGTGGGGGCCTTAGGGATGAGGAACACAGGCCAGTTTTGTTTGCACAAGCTGAGTCATTTCGTCGTTCAGCAGCGCTCGACTGAGTACCTTGATGCTGGACGGTGGAGATGCAGACATAAGACCAGCAGAGTTCCTGATCCTAAGAGGCTTCCTCTGTTGTGGAGTTAGATTTAGTCTTTTAGTGCCTTAGGGATAAGGCCTGGAGACATATAAATAATAATTATGGTATTTCAAGAAGTTGCAACTGAGGCAAGCATGAGGCACAGCGGGAACATGGTAAAGAGGTGCTCCGGTCCTCCATGGGGTGGGCATTCAGTGAAAGGTCCTGGGGGGCATGAAGCTTACTCAGCAACTTGAAGATGATTGCATTGGCCAGGTAAGGGTAAGGGGCACCGAGCACAGGGTGTGTTTGAAGAACTGGTGAGGGGTTAACCTGGAAGGTTGTCCACACAAGATCATGGAGAGTGCTGGCTTCTTGGCTCAGGAGTTTGCATTTACCTTTAAGGCCACTTGAAGCCATCAGAAAGTTTAGGTAAGAATGTGACCGTCAGATTACTTTTTCAACTACGTTTATAAAGGTGTAATTTACATAAAATGGAACCTATTCCTTTTGAGTATATAGTTAATGAGTTTTAACTGGGGCAATCACTGCCACCAGTGAGATACCATTTCTTTCACCTCAGAAAGTTTCCTCCTGTCCCTTCGCAGTCAGTCCCCTCCCACTTCCAAGCAACCACTCATCTGCTCTCTTCCACTATGGATCAGCTTGCCTTTTGCACAGTTTCATATAAATGCAATCATATAGTATGTTCTGACTTCTCTCACTAGCACAGTTTTTGGGGATTCCTAAATGTGGTTGCAGGTGTCAGTAATTGGTTCCTATTTGCTTCTGAGTAATATTCCATTAGATTTACTCCTGAGAAAGATTACTTTGGCTGCAATACAGATAGTGAATTAGAAGAGAGGACAGGATGAACCAGGGAGTGCAGAGTCACTTAAAACAGTTCAGGTGAGAGAGAGGAGTGGCCTGAACTAGGACAGTGATAGAACAGAGAAGGGCATTTCTGAGGGACACGTTCTGACTACAGGGACTGAGGAAGAATACAAAATTAAAAGGACTCCCAAGTCTGGCTCAGATTGTATCCAGGTAGATAGTGCCGTAGCTCTAAACTAGAGACCAGAAGTGAAGAAAGCAGTGGAAGCAGTGGCGAAGCAGAAGACCTCTCCCTCAAGAACATGAGTCCATGGTTAACCAGTTGGAGTCAGGCCTGGGTTTGAATGCTGGCTTTGGGTTCCTTCGTACCTCTGTGACCATGGACCAGTCAGTTCCTCTCTGTGAGCCTTCATTTCCTCTCCGAGGTCACAGGAGTGTTACCAGGGTTTAGCCCAGAGTGTGACACTTACTAGGCACTTAGTAAATGAGTATGTGCTCCATTACTATGTGCTCCATACAGACAAGGACTGCTCTGCCCTGATACCCATGGCTCATTAGCCCCTAGCACACAGGAAGTGCTCAGTAAATAGCTGAAGGCATGCGTGCATCGCCAGGGCTGTGAGCCATAACTGAGAGTGCCAGGATTGCTGCTGTGGACACTGAGTGTGTGGACACACCAGACAGTGCCATCTGGCTGGTGGAAGGCTTTGGACCAGGTGAATAGGCCGAGCTCTTTTGAAAGCAACAGCTCTGGTTCTTGTTGCTGGGGAGACAGCTTATGCTTCGGATGTCCAATCTGGAAGTGCCCTATAAGAGAGTTTTGTCCCTACTCACCTGATCCCTGAATCATGATGTTTCTTGAGTATTCAGGGGTAGGGGTGTCCCATCTCAGAGGGAAAGTCTTCCTGTTCATCCTGTGCTGGGTGTAGGCTATAAAATCAGGGAGGCCAACAGCCTCTACTGTGGCTCTCACCATCGACTACCTCTTTCCCCTGGTACAGGAGTTTGACCCTGAAGAGTTCTACCACCTGTTGGAAGCAGCTGAGGGCCACGCCAAAGAGGGACAAGGGATTAAATGTGACATTCCCCGCTACATCATTAGCCAACTGGGCCTCACACGGGATCCCCTAGAGGGTGAGCACGCTGCCTGGTGGCTGCAGAAAGGCCCCACAGCTAACCAGCTCTTAGAGCAGGGAAACTACTTGGAGAAGAGGCTTAGCTTGGGCATGGACATGGCACAGCATTGGGGGCCTCAGGGCTATAGGAGGAATCCTGTGTCCTCTGTCACAAAATAGCCCCTCCTTCAGAATTGTTCACATCTGCCTGATAGAGCCCAACCTGGACTGCCTTGGACTTAGCCGGATTGGATTTAGAGCCAAAGGTCAAAAGAGGTCAACAACAAAAGGACCACAGTCCCATTTTCAAATTGCTCACCTTCTCTGCATGCTCACCTCTCCTGCTGCCACCTTACAAGTCCTTCTGTGTCTTTGGGGTGGTCCCAGCTCAGAGTTACAGAAGCTGATTCTCCATTCTTCGGGGGTTCCCACTGAGTCCCTGCATGAACTGTGGCTTGCACGTCCCTGGTCAGTGGTCATCCTGCCTTCCCTGCTTCCCATCCCCATCTGCAGAGCCATCTTAGCCAGCAGGATGGGGACCGATAAGCCCAGCTTTACGCCCTGTTTTCCAGCAGTTGTCCCAAGTTTTAGGGTAGCTTTATAAAATTTGCCAGGCCTTATAAATGGCACTGGGCTTCTAGAAATAGGAGTGGCAGCATTACTGGCAAACAAGTTCAAGAGCTGTGACTATACCGAGGAGAGGTGCAGGACCAATCTGCATCCCAGACTCATGCAGAAAGCATTAATGCCTCCCCTACACGCACCTGCCATGTGATAAGCGTGGACTGCCCAGATGCCTGACAGTGCCACGCACACTCTTCTGTGTCCTTGCTTTGTTTCTAGAAATGGCCCAGTTGAGCAGCTATGACAGTCCTGATACTCCAGAGACTGATGATTCAGTCGAGGTAAGATGCTGAGCTCCTGCCCCAGTCCTGGAGCCTGGGCCCGTGAAGCAAGGAGCTGTGTGTTCTCTTGACTAGAACATCTAGAGGAGGCGGATGGGGGTTGTATACATTGCCTGAGACGTCATTCAGCTCCTGGGGGAGACCGGGCAGGAGGCCACAGCAGGGCTAGGAGCTGAGCTAATGATGGGGCCATAGCTTCCCTAAACTTATGGGCCCTGAGAAGCATGCCTGCCTCTTGCCTTTTCCCTTGTCTTCCAGGGCCGTGGGGCATCTCTGACATCTAAAAAGACACCCTGTGAAGAAGACTTTGAAACCATTAAGCTCATCAGCAATGGCGCCTACGGGTAAAGGCAGGGGTCAGGGTGTGGCTGGGACTGCAGCTAAGTCAGCCCTTGGGCTCTTCCTTCCCGAAGGAAGTATATGATACCCAATCTCTGGGCAGCAGATGCCTCAGGATGGACCCTCTCTCTCCCCAGATCCTCCTGGAGGGGCAAGAGTTCAGTTTCCTCTGGCATCTGAGTATTGTTCTTCCCTCAGGCGATTCCCACACACCTCTCGGTAGCACTCCTCTCACTGAGCTATGGGGAAGGGTTGAGCTGTGTCCCTAGGACTTGGTATCTCAGGAAATTGAGGAGCTCTATGGGCAGGGGGCCCAGGTCCTTCTCATTGATAACACAGCCCTGCTTCTTTGTTCTACACATTTATAAGGCGTAAGAGGAGGCAGTTTGGCCACCCCGAGTCTGGGTGGTGGAGGGCACAGCTCAGGCGCTGTGGGTCTGTGGGGGACTGAGTGTGCTGTGTTTCCCAGGGCCGTGTTCCTGGTGCGGCACAAGTCTACCCGGCAGCGCTTTGCCATGAAGAAGATCAACAAGCAGAACCTGATCCTGCGCAATCAGATCCAGCAGGCCTTCGTGGAGCGCGACATACTGACTTTTGCTGAGAACCCCTTTGTGGTCAGCATGTTCTGCTCCTTTGAGACCAAGCGCCACCTCTGCATGGTGATGGAGTATGTTGAAGGTACTCAGGGAAAGGTGGTCTGGCATGGAGGCCAAGGCACAATCTGAGACTTAGCCCTGAGCTGGGACCAATAGCTTACATAGTGATAAAGTTTCAAGGCCCAGCTTCCCTGTCTCTTTAACATTGGTTTCTGCCTTAGGATCTCAGCCCATTTGGCTACAGTGGGCACACGGCTCCCTGCCCCTCACAGGGAAGGCTTCTGCAGCAATAGCTGCCATGAGACTGCCCATGTCTGGTGTAATGAGAGGCACTCTGGGACAGGATGTGTCAGCCTGGCAGCTATAGAATCCTTTACCCCAAAGCCTGCACAACCTCTCCTGTGGACCAGGCAGGAGCAAATGAGGTAGCAAAGCCACAAAAGCCTAGGGTTGGATGCTGGGAGGACTGCATGTGGGTCCTCAGAAGTCAGGAAAGCCATTGCCCTGGCTGATGGCTTGTGAAAGGGGTGCCCCCTAAGGACACACAAAATACTCTTGGGATGGAGCAGAAGAGCATCACGTGCAGCTGCTTGGCTGGTGGCCTGCCCTCTCCCCTTCTCACTGCTGTGTACAGCTTCCAAAGGTATTTTGCCTAAGTCTTGAAGCTGAACAAAACTCCCCTTTTAATTAGTAGGGAGTTTACAGTTACCTCACTCAGCAAATAAAGGACAGCCATCAGGAAGAAAATAAATGAGCAATGCTAAAGTGTCAACCAGATGTGTTTTCAATATACAGGATTCCCATCCTAAAATAACATAGTCCTATCTCTACAAATCAACCTACAGGCACAGAGGCCTGGATTCCTTCCCTCTCTGGCCTGAACAGTGGCCTAAATGGCCATTCTCCTGACCTCCTGCTTCCCTCCACTCTGTCTCACCCTGTGCCAACAACAGAGGGGCTAGAATCACAGTCTCTAGCACCAGTGTCTTCCAGGAGGCTGTCTCCTCTGGAGACTTAGACACTGTAAACCTGAGACCATTGAGAGCAGAGAACTGGATCCTTCCTTCATGGTGGCACCCTTGTTGCAGGAGGAGACTGTGCCACTCTGCTGAAGAACATTGGGGCCCTGCCTGTGGACATGTCGCGTCTATACTTTGCGGAAACTGTGCTAGCCCTGGAGTACTTACACAACTATGGCATCGTGCACCGTGACCTCAAGCCTGACAAGTACGCCTAGTCTCTGGGTCCCTTGTTCCAAGTTCTCCGTCTTGGGTCTCTAGATAAATGGAGGCAGACAGAGCATGTTTGAATCTATACTAAATTGGCTTCTAGGAAACAGTGGTCATGTGGGTATCCTTCTATGCCCAGTACCCTACCCCTGGTCACCTAAATGCAAAGACCATTGCCAGCAAGGTCTGGCAGAGGCACTGTAAGGCTTTGGTGACATGTAAGAGTTACTGATGAATGCCACTCAAGAAGCCAAGCAGGAACAAAAGAATCAACATATATAATAGATGGCTGAACAAGTGTTCTGACGTTTACTGACATCTACTCTGTGCCAAGCACGATATTATGGGCTATAAAATAGTCCTTGGTCTAGTGTGGGAGACAGAAATATCAGTGTACAGGCTGTTTCTTGGAAGGCATTAGTCAATTGGGAAAAGGTGGGAGGAGCTTTCCAAAGCTGGGGAGTGGGATTTGCAGAGTCACACAGGTGTGACCTGTTCAGGAACAACAAATAATGCGGCTGAAGCGAGATTGTTGGTTAGTCAGAGTAATAAGAGAGAAGGCCAGAGAGATAGGCAGGAATTAGATCATCAAGGGCCTTTTTGTTAGGTTTGGTTTTATTTTAAAGGGTTCTAGAGGTCTTTGAAGAGCCTATGAACCAAAGGTGTGAAAGAATGACACACCCAGATTTTGGGTTTAGATTTGGAAGATCACTTTGTCAGTGGAAAGAGATGGTGAGACTGTTGCGGTAGACCAGGCCAAAACAGTGCTTGCACCTGAACTGTTAGGATGGATAAGAGGGGACAGTGGTGGGGAGTAGAAAGGAAGCGATAAGGTTGTGGTGGGAGTGCAGAGAGAAGTGAGAGAGCAGGAGTCTGGGATATTGTCCAGGTTTCTAGCCTGGGACTGGTGCATGGCGATAAGCCTCTGAAGTGGAAAGTGGCATTGACATTAGGCAGACCTACATTGAGGTGACCACTCGTTAACTCTGTGAGCTTGAGTCTGTGAAACCTCTCTGAGCCTCACGTTCCTCCTCTTGAAAATGGAGATAATACGTACTTCCATTGTATTAGTTACTCTGTAAGACCTTTCAGGAGCCAAAATATTTTTACAAACAATCAACAAAGTGCTTATCACAGAGCTCAATAGGTAACAGAAGTTATGCTTTTCACTGAGAAGAGGGCCAGTTAGGAAGCATGGCTTTGTTTCGGACAGGTTGAGTTTATGGTGCCTGTAAGAAATCTGGGCAGTCAGTAGACATGGAGCTGCAGAAGTCAGGACCAGAGATACTGATTTGGGAATCATGGAATAAAGGGGTGGCAGGGAGCAGCTTTCACACAAAGTGAAATGGCTCAGGCAGTGTGTGAAGGGAGAGGAAAGAGACACTTCTTTGTGAGATCTGATTTCTAGTTTCTCCCAACCAACCCGCCTTCTAAGACCCACCTCGGACATGGAACAAGGGTATGTGCCCCTGAGTCCAGGGTACTGTGAGTCACCCAGGTGAGGAGAGGGGACTGGGAATGGCTATAGCCTTATGATGATTCTCCCTCAGTGGAAGAAAGTGTTCTTTAGCTGGGGATGCCTGCCCCCAGTATGGAGTACAGTGAGGGCAGTAAACAGAAGTGGGTTGGGGGAACAGGCGAGGAGCAGGTTGTGTGTGCAGAATGCAGCACTCACAAAGCCAGAGCTGTCTATTTCTTCACGGCTCCGGCTCCCTGTTGAAGCTACCCTGCTGTGTCCCACCTTAGCCCTGTAGAAGTCTGAGTGAGAAAATCTGGCATATACTAAAATTAGCATTCTTCTGTTTCTCTGATTTCCCAGCCTCCTGATTACATCCATGGGGCACATCAAGCTCACTGACTTTGGCCTTTCTAAAATTGGCCTCATGAGCCTGACGACAAACTTATATGAGGGCCACATTGAAAAGGATGCCCGGGAGTTCCTGGACAAGCAGGTAAGGAAGGATGGTTGAGACTTTGGGGCTTGAATTCCAGGCCTCAGAATAAGGACTGGGAGATGCATGGTTACCCTGTAGACACATGTTAGGACTGGGAGTTCCTATCTTTCTTATCTTTTGATTCCAGGGAGGCACTGAGATAGGTAGCACATTTAGGAAATAGGGTGGACCACGAGAATTATATAGTCATAAAACCCCAAATCATCTTCCTCCTCAGAGTTAGGAGAAAATAGGGCATGTAACCATTGACTCCCAGAGACTGGTATGAGGTCTGTTCTGAACCGCCCTGGCCTCAGTCAAGAGCTAGGCTCCTAGAGCTGTTGTTCTTGGCACACAGCTCCAAATTTCCACTGGGCTGTGGCCCAGCTTCTTGAGCCTAGCCTCTGGACGTTCCCTGCTCTGACACTCTAGGTTGTTACTGTTCACAAGTCCCTGTAATAGTCATATGACTGTAGGGTCTGCTCTTTGGGAGACTGGAGGGCAGAAGCCAATTGTGGGGTGGGGCCCAGAGATGCCAGAAGGAGGTGTTGAGGGATCAAGGAGTGGTGATCCCAGGCTAGAAGATGTTTTGGGTAATTAGGAGACACATCAACTCGCCCCACCAAACAGTTCCAACTCTGGTACCCTGGTTGATCTTGCTCATTAACCAAAGGTAGCTGAGTCTTTAGTCTTTATTCAGAGACTTTTTTACCCCAAAGGTGGGAACATCCCCCCCCTCCAGCTGTCATGCCAGTAGGCTGCCTCAGGATGCTGAGCCGGCCTGGCTTCTCTGTGCCCAGGTATGCGGGACTCCGGAGTACATTGCACCCGAGGTGATTCTGCGTCAGGGCTATGGGAAGCCAGTGGACTGGTGGGCCATGGGCATAATCCTGTATGAGTTCCTGGTGGGTTGCGTCCCTTTCTTTGGAGACACTCCGGAGGAGCTCTTTGGGCAAGTGATCAGTGGTAGGTACCATCGCCCTGGCCCATGGGGAGGCAGAGTCTGGATCCACAAATATGATTTACACATGCAACTGTGACTCTTATGCCTTCTTTTCTAAGTTCATGTGTGTGTGATGGTATACTTGCCTCTTAGATGTGTGTGCACAGGCACACTCTGTGTGTCACCTGGGTCTTCTTGTTTATGCTCATGCACCCCCCATATGTACATGAGTGTTGTCTCTGTGCGTATCCTGTGAGTGGGAGTTTTGTGTGGGAGTGTACGGGTGTCTGGAGAGTAAAGGCCGGGGGAGCTGGAGCTTCAGGACAGGGAAGTCACGGCTTTGCTGTGCCCACCCTGGATCTGAGAGCAAGCCGTGCTCTAGGGTGTGTGCTCCAGGAGGACTGGAATATATGGTACTTAAGGAATTGGGGTCCCAGGCTAGCTTTCAGGGGTCTTGGCTGAGCCCTTTATGCCTCCCTACCCTTATCCTCTCTGAGGACCATCTTCTCCATCTCCCACTCTGCCCACAACTTCTGAGACCCTTCTGTAGCCCACTCCTTTTCTCACCCCCAATGACCTTTCAGATGAGATTGTGTGGCCTGAGGGGGATGATGCATTGCCACCAGATGCCCAGGACCTCACCTCTAAATTGCTCCACCAGAACCCTCTGGAGAGACTGGGCACAGGTAGGACAGGCCCCACTAATCTTCCTCACCACTTGGAAGAGGGAGGAGGGAGGCTGAGTCCGTGCAACCAGGAGGGTCAGGCTTCAAGTGTGGGCAGTGGCTCTGCATCCGGAAATTCCACTGCTCCCTCTGGGCAGAAGAGCTTGGAAAGTCTGGACTCCACCCTGCTCACCCCATCCCATAGGCAGTGCCTGTGAGGTGAAGCAGCACCCATTCTTCACCGGCCTGGACTGGACAGGACTCCTTCGCCAGAAGGCTGAATTTATTCCCCAGCTGGAGTCAGAGGATGATACCAGCTACTTTGACAGTAAGGCCACCGATGGGGCGGGAGGAGTAGGGCTTCCACCTGTTTTTTCAGAAACACCTGTGCACCCTGAACCTGGCACTGGGAGAGCAACTTCTCCAGGCCCTTCTGAGGTTTGTTAGAGTCAAAAGGAGGCCACCACCAGTGGCCTCTGAAGGGGTCTGTCGTGTTTGACCCAGCCCGCTCAGATCGATACCAGCACGTGGACTCCGAGGAGGAGGAGGAAGTGAGTGAAGATGGCTGCCTCGAGATCCGCCAGTTCTCTTCCTGCTCTCCCAGATTCAGCAAGGTACCACTGAGGCAGGCCCACGCTGGGGAGAGCAGGCTGGAGGATTGGGAGAAGGGGACCTGTTAAGGGATATGCCTAGGGCAGGCTGGGGGAGGAGGTGATGGGGCTACCTCAAGAAAAAGAGGAGGAAAGGCTGGGCCTGCATAGGACAGATACTTCTAGAACCACTCCAGCCTTGACATATAAGATACCAGGGGTGAGGCCAGGTGAGTCCAGTGGAATCGCTGTTTCCTTAAACATTCAATGATATGTGTAGGGGAGGGGAGGGGAGAACTGGTTCAGATTCCTGGTTTCAGGTGCAAGGATACTTTTTGCTCCTCAGGTGAGTCTGTTGGAGCCCGTCCCCAGCACGTCTTCTGTGCCCACAGGTGTACAGTAGCATGGAGCGGCTGTCACTGCTTGAGGAGCGCCGGACACCACCCCCTACTAAGCGCAGCCTGAGTGAGGAGAAGGAAGACCGCTCAGATGGCCTGGCAGGGCTCAAGGGTCGGGACCGAAGCTGGGTGATTGGCTCCCCTGAGATGTGAGCACCCAGAGTTCACCCAGAGTGGGCAGCACAGCCATCCATCAGTTGTTACAGATTATGGGCGAGATTCAGATGCTGGGGAGGAGTGCTGGTGGCAATGAAGGGGCATTCACAAGAACGGCTCCTCAGGAATGTCTGAGAAGAGTTCTGTGAGACCCTAAGGAAACCTGGGTTGGAGGAGGGAGACCACCAGAGCCATCTCACTGTAGGCCTTGTGTCTCGCAGATTGCGGAAGCGGCTGTCGGTGTCTGAGTCATCCCACACGGAAAGTGACTCAAGCCCTCCACTAACAGTGCGACGTCACTGCTCAGGCCTCCTGGACATGCCCCGCTTCCCTGAGGGCCCTGAGGAGGCTCCCAGCACCCCCAGGAGGCATCAGCAGGAGGGCATATGGCTTCTGACACCTCTGTCTGCAGAAGGGTTGTCTGGGCCTATCCGTGAACGGCCAGTGGAGCAGCAGCTGAAGGTGGATGAGGAGCCTATTGGCCAGAGCAGTGGTTCTAGTCCAGGTGTGGCCCGGCAGGTGGCCAAAGGGCCAAGCTAGACGATATTGCAGGGAGGCAGGGAGGGGAGGCTCAGCTGCATTGCAGGTCTCATTGCTCATTTGGGCCCACAGCCATGGAGACCCGAGGCCGTGGGACCCCACAGCTGGCTGAGGGAGCCACAGCCAAGGCCATCAGTGACCTGGCAGTGCGCAGGGCCCGCCACCGGCTGCTCTCTGGGGACTCTGTAGAAAAGCGCACTGCTCGCCCCATCAACAAAGTGATCAAGTCTGCCTCAGCCACAGCCCTGTCCCTCCTCATTCCTGCAGGTGAGGCCCTGGGGAACTAGGATAAAGCTCACAGGAAGGGCCTTGGAATCTCTTTGGGCCTGTGGCAGGAGTCTGCACAGGGCTGGTGTGTCTGTGCGTTGCATGTTGAGGAGCAGGTACCTGAGAGACTGTGTGTCACTGCTGTCCCTTTACTATGAAACTAGAGATCTCTAGTTTAAATATGTATGAAGAGCTTATATGGTCCCTGGTACATATAAGCAAGCACTCAGTAAATGCCAGCTGCCATTCCCCATCACCTGCTGGGGTCTGAGGCTTTGGGTACAGGAGGGGGCTTTGCTGCTTAGAGGCTGTGGGAAAGGCATACCTGGGCTCAGGCACTGTCTCTGACTACAGCTGTGTGGGATCAACAGCCTAGGCAGGGCGCTGGTCTGGGAATAAGACCAGGCCAGGGTCCCCGACCCACTAAGTCCTGGTTTCTCCTCCAGAACACCACACCTGCTCTCCGTTGGCCAGCCCCATGTCCCCACATTCCCAGTCATCTAACCCATCATCCAGGGACTCTTCTCCAAGCAGGGACTTCTTACCAGCCCTCAGCAACCCAAGGACCCCCATCATCATTCACCGAGCTGGCAAGAAGTATGGCTTCACCCTGCGGGCCATCCGTGTCTACATGGGTGACTCGGACGTCTACACTGTGCACCACATGGTGTGGGTATGTCTTGCCATGCAGACCTGTTGTCTCCCAGCTTCTTCACTTCTCCACCTTCCCCTGACTAGGGCCAGCCTGTCCCTGCCCCTGCCCCTGCCCCTACTACCCTCAGGAGCTATGCTCAGGCTCTAGGCTGAGAACTGTTCTCTCCCTGGGCAGCACGTGGAGGATGGAGGTCCAGCCAGTGAGGCGGGGCTTCGTCAGGGTGACCTCATCACTCATGTCAACGGGGAGCCTGTGCATGGGCTGGTGCACACAGAGGTGGTGGAGCTAATCCTGAAGGTTAGTGCTGGGTATGCTGCCTGCTGTGGCTGGCCCGAGCCTTGCGAGTCTGTGAGGGGAGTGGGAGAGTCGAGCACACATACACCTGGCACTCACCGAGGACAGACGCACGTACACACAAAGCTTGGGTATGGCCATAGCAGTGAGTTCTCATTGGAAGGCAGCACCCTCACTGACCAAGGCCTGGGGATACTCCTAAGCTGTGGGTAGGATTGGCGAGCAGGACAGGTAAGCCTCTTTACCTCCACAACCCAAACCACTTGGGCTCCAGTCAGAGCCATTTGCTAACCCGTGAAGAGAGAAGACAGGGCTGTGGTTGAGACATGCTGATACAGAGACAGAGGCTAGCGCTGTGGTCTAGCCATGCCCAGGGGTAGAGGTTGGGTCAAGAATATGGTCACCTCCTTAGCCTAGGCTCATGTTCTGTTCCCCAGAGTGGAAACAAGGTGTCTATTTCAACAACTCCCCTGGAGAACACATCCATTAAAGTGGGGCCAGCTCGGAGGGGCAGCTACAAGGCCAAGATGGCCCGAAGGAGCAAGCGGAGCAGGGGCAAAGATGGGCAAGAAAGGTGAGCCAGACTTGGCCCAAGGGTCTGCTCTGAGCCAGTTTATGGTGCTATTGTGTGCTGGGGGCCTTGGCCCTGAGCCCAGTGTATGCTGTGTCCTGTGCACCAAGGCAGACAGCCTTCGGACTCTTGTCTCTGCAGCAGAAAAAGGAGCTCCCTGTTCAGGAAGATCACCAAGCAGGCATCCCTGCTCCACACCAGCCGCAGCCTCTCTTCCCTTAACCGCTCCTTGTCATCAGGGGAGAGCGGGCCAGGCTCTCCCACACACAGCCACAGCCACAGCCACAGCCTTTCCCCCCGATCTCCCACTCAGGGCTACCGGGTGACCCCTGATGCTGTGCATTCAGGTAGGAAGGGCTCCCTGCATGTTGCAGAGACAACCCTGGGAGGTAGGAAAGTGCCTGGGCCCTCTCTAGTTCTCATGGGTTCTACTCTGAAACTTTCATTCAACCCACTCCCTGAAAGATCCAACAGTCTTGGGGAGATGGTGATAGGGGTGGAGGGTGACTTCATCTCCATAGCCCGGGCTCTGGTTCAGTGGTGGGGTAACCTTGATGAACCTGGGACATTCCAGAGCTCAGCCCTGCCTTGCCCCTCAGTCATTTCTAACAGCTAACATTGCTCTCTCTGCCTTTGTTTGTTTGTGCAAAGTGGCAGGGAATTCGTCACAGAGCAGCTCGCCCAGCTCCAGCGTGCCCAGCTCTCCAGCTGGCTCTGGGCATACACGGCCCAGCTCCCTCCACGGTCTGGCACCCAAGCTCCAACGGCAGTACCGCTCTCCACGGCGCAAGTCAGCAGGCAGCATCCCACTGTCACCACTGGCCCACACCCCTTCTCCACCACCAGCAGCTTCGCCCCAACGCTCCCCATCACCCCTTTCTGGCCATGGAATCCAGGCCCTCCCCACCAAGCTTCACTTGTCGCCTCCCCTAGGCAGGCAACTCTCACGGCCCAAGAGTGCGGAGCCTCCCCGCTCACCACTACTTAAGAGGGTGCAGTCAGCTGAGAAACTGGCAGCTGCACTTGCCGCTTCTGAGAAGAAGCTAGCCACTTCTCGAAAGCATAGCCTTGACCTGCCCCACCCTGAGCTAAAGAAAGAACTGCCACCCAGGGAAGTCAGTCCTCTGGAGGTAGTTGGGACCAGGAGTGTGCTGTCTGGGAAGGGAGCACTGCCAGGGAAGGGGGTGCTGCAGCCTGCTCCCTCACGAGCTCTAGGCACCCTCCGACAGGACCGGGCTGAGCGGCGAGAGTCACTGCAGAAACAGGAAGCCATCCGTGAGGTTGACTCTTCAGAGGATGACACTGACGAGGGGCCTGAGAACAGCCAAGGTGTGCAGGAGCCAAGCTTGGTACCTAACCCAGAAGTGGGCCAGGATCCACCCCTCAGAGGAGCAGGAGAGGGTGAGAAAGAAGATGCCTTCTTGCCCAGGGACCCCAGAATGGAGGGCCCTGGTGACCCCCAGAGGAGGCTTGGGATTCCACAAGCCTTTGAGGAGGCTGCCAGCTCCTTGTCACCAGTTCCCAGCCTGGGTAGGGCTGGACCCACAGACCCCATGCCCCCTGAAGGCTGCTTGAAGGCCCAGCTCCTCCACACCCGGGCACTAACAGCACTTTGTCCCAGCTCTTCAGGACTTATCCCCACCAGTTGCCCCACTGCCTCCTCCACCTCTGGAGAGCCAGGCCCATGGTCCTGGAAGTTTCTTATTGAGGGTCCAGAGGGGGCATCCTCAAGCAGAAAGGCAACAATGGAAGGTGGGTTAGTCAGCTCCCAGGATTTGAAAGCCACAACTCCAGCCCACCCTGAGAACCTGTATCCTAGGCAGGAGGGGAAGTCATGGCCACCCAACGCCCCTGGGCTGGCCCACCAACCTTGTGAGCTTTCCAGCCAAAGCTGGCGATGGGAGCCTGAGTGTGCACAAATAGAGAAAGGGGAGCCAGCCCTGGGCATCACCAAAGTGCCTGATGCCTCAGGTAACAGGAGGCAGAATGTTCCAAGCAGAAGCTGCCCCCTCACCCACGAGCCAGGGCCCAGCCTGCTCCAAAGGGGCCGAGACCCAGGAGACCGTCACAAGCATCAGGACTTGGCATCGGCAACTGATGAGCTATTAAAGCAAACATAGCCATTGTATACCATTTGTTGCACTCAGACCTGTGTAATACATGCTCTTGGAAACCATCTTTATGTCTTTTGCTTACTTCTTTCCTTCCGTCAACACAGATGTAACTCAAGGTCCTATGTTGCTGCTGATAATAAATAAGTTTCCACTGTCAGGGGAGGGGCATCTAATCTAGCTTGGCTTCTGAGATTATGACATCTGAGCTCAAATCTGAGGGATAGGTAATAGGTAGTAGTTTGCTGGGTTAGAAGAGTAGGAATTAATGTAAGAAAGGATGTCCAAGCAGAGAGTATAGCACTTAACCATATACCTGGTATATTCAAGGAACCGAAAATAATTCATAGTGGAAATGGGCCTAGTGAGTTAGGCAAGTGTCATAACTAATGGTCTTCCAGGAGTTTAGACTTTCTGTAGGTGATGAGAAACTCAAGCAACTAATATTCCTGCTTTATAGATAAGGGAGCTCAGGTTTGCAGACATTAGTAAGATCATATCTCAGGCAGAGCTAGGATTAGAACCTAGGTCTCCCTTGATTCCAGAACCCACATATATATCCCAAATTGGAATGCCTCTTAGCCAGAAAATGAGGGAAAAAGGTGGAGGGAGGCGAAGAGTTGAACTTGGTACTTGGGGGACATCCAGAAAGTAACTGGATGTATGGGTCTGGAACTCAGCAGAGGAATCTGGAGTGATGACAGAAAATTGAGAGCCATCAATGCATCAATAATGATACACAGGATCATTGAGCACAAGCTTTTAAGGCAAAGAAAGACTTAGAAGCAGCCACCAGAAGAGAATCATAAAATATGAGAGAGAAAAGTGTTTTAAAATGGGTGAAGTTACTTGGTAAAATGCTGGAAGGCCAGGTGGGATGAAAATAAGAGAACTGCCTTCTGTGTTTAGTAATAAGTCATTAATGTTTATAGCCAGTGAGCCCTTTCTGGGCTATTGTCAGGTAGGCCTCTGCACTGGAGATGGATGTTGCTGAGTGCAACTGCACTGGGTAGTGGTGTCAAAGGGAGAGGGAGCCCATCTGTGGGACCACCCTTGGAAGTCAGGAGATGGCCTAGGAGCAGGGAGAAGGGCTGTGGTGGAGTGCCAAGGCTAGAAGAGGGCCTCCAGGTGATGAACTTGTGAAAGTGCTGCCTTGCACTAATTGTCCCAAAATCCAATGCCTAGGTCCAAAGGTGAGGCATCAAGAGGCATGGAAACTGGAAAATGCCTCTGGGTCACTGGCTTGGGTACTTCAAGCACACCGCAGCTCTTGGTGGAAGGCTGTGGCCGCCAGAGGGCGTGCTCTGCCTATGTGGCAGAGCCCACAAGTGGGACATCTGGCCCTTCAGCCTTCAGGTCCCCTCTTGAACTCACTTCCTCCAGGCATTCATTGATAGCTGACCCCCTGTACTGGACGCTGGGAATAAAACTGGTTGCTTGGGGGAGCCCACCCCCTGTGTATATCAGGATCTGGTTAGAAGTACCATATCACAGGTGAAGGGGCTGGGCAGGCACATCTTGCGGCAGCTCATGAGAGGGAGGAACTGCCCCCTTAGGGGTTTGGAAATGGCAGAAGAGGAGGGTTGGAGGAGTAGGCACAGAGATGCTAAGCATCCTGTAATGCACAGGGCAAGTGCCAGTGGGGCAGTTGAGAAACTGCCAGATTAGCCTGAGGGGAGTGAGGAGTTTCTGAGAGGTAACCACAGGGAACTGGTATAATCAGACTTATGTTTTAGGAAGATCACTAGCTGCAGTACAGGGAGGTCCAAGTGAAGCAGCAGACCAGGAGGAAAATGTAGTGACCCGTTATGGTCTGAACTAGGACAACAGTGAGGTTTCCCAGGAGGGAAAGCATAGGGAGCTGGTCACAATTGTCAGCAAGTAGATGGTAATTAAAGGCATAGGAGTAGATGGGGACTGTACAGAGAATAGGTACAAAAGGAAAAGGCCCAAGACATTGGGAATAACCCAAGGGGAGGAAGCCAGTGAAGAGTAAAGTGGGGAACTGGATCCTGAGCTTGGGAGAAGTCAAACCATTTTAAGAATTTTGTAATCCTAATAGCAATGGAAAGTTATTTGTTTTATATAGGTTCAGACTTGTACTTTAAAAAGACAACTCCAGTTGCTATAATGACAGTGGATTTGAGGGGGGCAAGAATGGAAGATGGGAGGGCTTCCAGTATGAAGGTTAGAGATAGTAGTGAAGGTGAAGTGGTGTCTTCGATACTTAGAAAGTAAACTTGGTATGTGGGTTTTATGTAGACATGAAGCAGAGGAAGTACCAAGAATAATGACTACATTTCTGACTTACATAAGTAGATGAATTATATATTCCATTCACTGAAATGTGAAATAACAGAAGAGAAACAGGACGAGGTGGTGACCTTGCATTCAATATGCTGAATATGAGATGTACCTCCTAGTAGAGGTCTGAGCAGGAGAAACAAAGTAGGATAAATTAGCCTAGAGATGGTAGGTGAATTCATGGATATGGACAAAACTGCCAGGGGAAGAGGCATAACTGAGAAGGCAGCAGGAGAAGTCCAGGAGAATTAAACAGATGTAGAAGGAAAACTAGATGAGTGAGTCGTCATGGAGCCAATGGGAGAGTTTTTCATGGGGAGGTCAACAGTGATGGTTATTGAAGACCATGGAGAGCAGTCTCAGGAAATGGCAGAAACTATTAAAATGCTTAAGGAGGTGAGGCAATAAAGATAAATTTAGAGTTTTTTCAGAAGGTTTGGCTTTGAAGAGGAAAAAAGAGATAAGGAAAGGAATATAGGGTTGAAGAAGTGGAGAGATATCCAATCAAGTTTTGGGGCTTTTTTCCTACACCATATACTTCGTTATATTGATGAAAAAATAAGTATGCAGTATTTTCTAAATTACATGAAACAGTTCATTGACTATTATGATTCTGTTACATTATTCTGACATATAATTTGTTTTGGACTGAAAATTCATTTTTGCTATTTTTCTTTTAAACGTGGTCATCCTTGTTCTCTTTAAAAAGTACCATTCTCCCACTTTCGGTCATCCTTGTGGAACAGGCAAATCACAAGGCCTGTCTCCCATTAGGAGCACAGTCTAGGCTGAGCCATTGCGCTGCACTCACCATGGATATACAAAACAAGCAAGTAGTACCTGAAAACACCATCCTTAGTGGAGCTGTCAAAGGCTGAGTCTGGCACTTCTGGAGGCCATTTGTCCACCTGGAGGAGAGAGCCTACACTCAAAATGAAACCAAGGGTGAGCTGGCACAGCAGAGATGGAGGGACATGTGGTGCTTAGGATAACTGAGGCCCATAATCAGACTTTTCCATTTACATTAGCCAATAAAGGCCAAATACCCAGCCACGTTCAAATGTCAATGGATGATCCAAATGAGATGAAACAACAGTGAAAGAATTGATAACTGATCATGGGAGATTCCTGAGAATGTGGAAGGAAAACAGAATCAGAGGGCTACTTTTTGTAATTTAATAGGTGGGAGGGAGAGGAGTTGTGGAGACAGGTTTGTAGGTTTGGTGGTAAAAAGGTAAGGGAATTCATAACCAAGCATATGTTTTCTCTGTAAACAAAAAGTTTGCAGTACCTGTGGGATGGAGAAGTCCTCAGTGGAAATATCCAGCCAGCAGGTGAGTACAGAAGAGAGGACTGGACTGAAGATAGGAATTTGAGAGTCCTATGTAGAGTAGGAACAACTCTTGGGATTTGGGGAAATCATCCATAGTTCCTAGCAGTGGCCTTGGGGGTGCTATGTAGCTAACATGTAGTGAGGGAAGAAGGTCATTTAGAATAAGGAAACTATTCCCCTACCTGATCTTATTTGTAATTCAGTGCACATCTGTGGGGCCTGAGAGACATGGATAACTGCAATGCTCTATGCAAGCAGAAGTCGTCACTTTTTGTTGATTATGTTTCCAATACATAGGAATCTCAACAAAGTGCCATGGCAGGAGGGTGACAAGGTCCTGGAGCAACAAGCAGACAGACTGTAAGGCTAAGCCCATTTCCCCTCCTCCAGAATAGAATGTGGAAACACTTTTATTTCTAGGCAGAAAGATGTGATGAGAATCAATAAACTGGGCTTTCTAATAGGAATGGGGTGAGGAGGAAATGGCTCTGATTTAACTTTCTCAGGATTAGTTTCTGAGTCTCCCTGTGTCCTGTGTCTGGCAGACAGGATTCTGGTATCGTACCTGTTAGGGTTGCTTCCTCTTCAGGGATAGAAGAGAGCCTCTGGTGGTCCCAGTTCAGTCCCAGGACCAATCTTTTGGTGCTCACGGGAGAGAAGGAAGTTTCAGGGCTTTTCAACATCCTAGTCCTCTTCCCCTTGTTCCCAGCCCCAAACCACCCCTCTCCATAGCACAAGGACAAAAAAAGGTACTTTATTGCAATGTCTTTATTGCATTACTGGAGCAAGTTGGTCAAACAGTCCCCTCTTGGGGAAGGTAAAAAACAAAAAGACCAAAAAGTATCTCCCCACCTTCCCCCCACCCTCCCCTACAACTGCACAGCAATGTCTGAACACATCTGGTGACAAGAACAATTTGCAAAAGTGGTCTAGGATCTACATTATGAACTGTCCCAACACAAGACATATAGTTGGCTTCCTTGTGAATCAGATATTTTTACGTAAACTACATGAATTTTTTTGACTACATCAAAGACAACAGAATAGGTTTTTCACAAGTAACAACAGGGCACCAAAGTCACATGCTGGAATTTGTAAGGAAACAAGGTTGTCACAAGTGGCTGGAGCTGGAGCAAGGCTGAGCAGTTGGCAGCAGAGGGCCCAGCTGCTTTGAGGCCACTAAAGCCTCACAGAGGACCACTCTGGAGTCTTAACTGACAAGAGACCAACTTGAAAACCAGGAATTGCCCAGATGCAATTCTTGGCCCAAGAGGACCCAGGAGGCTAGTTCCTGGCAGCAAGAAGAGACCCATGGAAGACACCACATTGGCTCTCATAAAAAGCTTCCCCAGAGCGCATGAGGCCCAAAGTAAATGGAAGGTCCCATCAGGGCTTGGAGATGAGATGGGGTATTTGGAATGAGGAGAGTATTTGGAAGTCTTCAACCTTGGCCAAATCAGTGGTAAGGACACAGCTACCAAGTAGAGGCCTGAGCCATGGCCAAGGTTTAGCATCTATGGCCAGGTGGAGATAGAGCACTGTTTTGTGATGAAAGCTCCACCTGGGATAGGCCTAGGACCTGTGTCCAGCCAGCCTCAAGCTGCTTTCACGTTGGTAGCTGGCTTCTCTAGCCAGGAAAACAATGGGCCACTCTGGTCTTGTTCTGTTTACCCTCTGCCTCAGTGAGAATGCAGTTAAGATGCTGTGAGAGAGAATACCAGGGCCCAGATCATGGGACAGGACACAGAACTAGACTCAGATGGAGGCCAAGGCTTGCTGCCAAGACCACAGAGTAAAGGAGCAGCATACTACCCCTCTGAGTGATTAGTAGACTGGTCCCTATGCCATTTCCACTGACTCACGATCAAGCAAAATCATGGCAACTAGTCAGAAAAGATACTTTTCAGCTTCTCAAATGATCCCTAGGTCTTAGTCCCCACAAAGCAACAAATTCGAGAATGAAAAACAGGAAAGAAACAAAAAGTGAAGGAATGTAGAACTAAAAAAGATCAGCCCTTCTCCACAAGCCAGCCCAAGTGTAGATAACAAATGACGCCAGCTCTCTTCCTCCATACCCTTAATGTCTGCCTGACAGGAGCAACGCACAGCTCAACCTTACGGGTGTGTATCCTTACCCCCATTTTCATTTAAGACATTCAGAACACTAAATTTTAGTACCAGAAAGGAGGGGTTCCTTGCGCCCAATCCTGAGCATCTAATGGCATAAGCAGGTCCAACACCAGGTGCACGGCTACCCAGGTGTGCCTAGCAGCAACTAGCCTGCCATTACTCAATAAAACGTTCAGCAGGATTTCAATCTGGCAATTTGGGGAAGGGATTTACAGCTCGTTGACTATCAGTTAAGGGCTTAAGTCAGAACAGTGACACGGGGGGGTGAGGTGTTCATTTTTGTCAGCCTCACTCAATCCTGAAACTGCAGTATAACCAGGGAAAAGGCAAAGATGTGCCCTTTCCTTCCTATTCTCACTGTTAATAACAAAGTTTTTCCAAAACTTTTCATCTATGTCTAATTTCTATGTCATGGTCCATTCTAGACCCTGTCACCAAGATAAGTGTTCAGGAAAAGCAGTATTTATTTATTTCATCCCCAAAACTAGAGCTTTCCTAGCTATAAGCCTTATGTACCAAGACCCACATATTGGCTTGCGTAGCTCAGTTAGGATGCCTGACTGCACAGCTTTGGGCTCAAACAGCTGACTCACTCTGAGCCTATTATGGTTCCAGGATTGGCTCAGAGGCAGCTGAACTCTATTTGTTAAATGAGTGTTGACTGATGGGGGAGGGCATAATGGAGGTAGGAGGACATGCCTGCCTCCAACTCCACTTGCCCAGCTCCACTCAGCCGGAAGGCTTAAACCACGTGGTGCAGAAGATCCTGGCCTAAAATCAGGACAGTCTGTGCACATCATCTTAATGGCAGGATCACAAAAAGGCATAGAGAAAAGCTTCCAGATGGTTTCTACTAACAGTCTGAACTCCAAACCATCCTTTCATCTCCTTAAAAATATTTCAGAAACCACTGTATGGAAGCACATGGGTAATGTGGTATGACCCTGCCCTGGACATCAGAGCCCCTGGGTCTGTGATGTACTGAGGTCCCTGACCACAATCTGGCTCCCTTCCTGCTACAGCCTTAGCAACCTGTGTATGCCCCGAAGCCCTACCCAGCACAGGACAGGGATGAGTAATTAACCAGGTTCACTGTTTCTGCAGAGCCTTTAAACTTGGGGAAGCACATATAAGAATGTTGTTCTATATCATTATTTGGTATATCAAGCCATCTAAAAGCACTGGATTGCACCTCTTCTTTACTCATACAAACAAGTTACAAAGGTTTCAAACAACAGATCATTCTTTAGGCTAAGGAAACACCACACAAGCACCAACTTCATTTTATGATTCAAAGCTCACCATGCCCACAAAAAGAACACTATTCCTCACCTCTGAGAAACAAGGGCAGGGCAGAGGGATTACAATGACCAATTTTAGTGTTTGCTAAAACTAACAAATTCTAGCTTTCCTTTTATTTTCAAGTTTTGGTACAGAAGTGTGCATTCAGACATGAGTGCTGCCTTCTTCCATCAGACCTTAGTCTGGCAACAAACATTGTTTTGCTGGGATCAATTTGGTTTCTAAACAGCGCTTCTTTAGAGGGAGGAGCTATGAGACGCTGACACCTAAATTATGTTGGTTAAGAAATACAGGACCTTCAGTTGAAGGGTTTTTACCCCCTTAACTGAGAGTCTGTAGATGAAATCCCAAGCCTCCCAGTTTTACTTTGGTTGTCTTTTTCACCGAATGCCATTCTACCACAGAACCAAACAGCCTTCTCTTTGGGAGGAAGTTAAGAGAGACTGCCAGATCAAAACACAACTCCCCGCAGAGCCACACCCCAACAGCATTCTCAGAGTTGAAGACCCAAGGAGGACATGGACTCTTCAGAAACTTGCAGATACAAACCCCCCCCCTAAACCTAATGTGTTCTGTTGAGGGTGCATGGCTGAAAAAACAACAACAAATAACCAATGAAACAGAATTCCCAAAAAAACAACATCTGCTTCCAGCTTCCTATGCTAGTGCAGCAGCACAGCTGGGTCCCAGAGAACCTTGGGCCCCTTACGCTCCCATCCTGGCCGGCTGCTGCTCGGCCTCTCCACTTCACATTCACAGAATCACTTCTTGTGCAAAACAAGCAGTCTACGTAGAAAGAATGCCCTCATAGTCTAATAAAAACTGTAGAAAAAAATGCTAGAGAGCCACCTCTCTTCCCACTCCCTCTTTATCTGCAGAATGAGGGCATCTGTGCATGGACAGGATAGGCAAGCCTGACGTTGAGGGAGTCGTTGTGCTGAACGAGGGATGTCTGCTGGTAGTGGAGCACCAGCTCCTTCAGTGAGCTGTACAGGTTGTAGGGCTCTGCAAAGCCATAGCCCCGGGCAGTGCTGTAGATCACACAATGCTTCACTTCCCCATCGGCACTAGAAGATACAACACACACGCCATGGAATTAGGGCAAAAATAATAAATGATCAGAAGTCTGAAAGCAATTATTCTATAGAGGAGCAGAAATGTTTTGTCAACCAAGTTTGTAAAATGTCACATCCATGTGTGTCCCCCTCACTCCCTTATAGACCTGTCACAGAGATACCCTTGGTCTCCTACCAAGACCTGGTAAAGCTAAAATGGATGGCCCCATTTAATCATTCAACTCTGGATCTTCATTAGGTAAGAATACTGGACAGGGGCAGAACAAACCAAAATAAATTTTTTTAGTGTATAGTTTTTTAGAATATTCACAAGGTAGTGCAACAATCACCATCTAATTCTAGAATATTTTCATCACCCTAAAAAGAAACCATGTAGCAATTACTCTGTATTCCTCCCTCCCCCCCTGGCAACTAACCTACCTTCTGTCTCTATGGATTTGCCTATTCTGGACATTTCATATAAATGGAATCATATAATATCACACAACTTTTTGTGCCTGGCTTTCAGTCAGCACACCATTTTCAAAGCCTCCCATGTTATAGCATGTATTGGTACTTCATTTTTTCTTGTGGCTGAATAATATTCCATTGTGTGGATATCCCACATTTTGTTTATCCATTCATCAACTGATGGACACTTGGCTTGTTTCCATTTTTTGGCTATTATGAATAATGCCAAATATAATGCTCTGAACATTTGTGTACGAGTTTTGTATGGACATATATGTTCAGTTCTCTTGGACATATACCTAGGAGTGGAACTGCTAAGTCATATGGTTTAGCTTTGTGAGGAACTGCCAAACTGTTCCCCAAAATGGTTGTGCCTTTTCACTTTCCCACCAGCAGTGTAAGAGGATCCAATTTCTCCACATCCTTACCAAAACTTGTTATTGTCCATCCTTTTTATTTTATAGTCATCTTAGTGGCATCTCATTGTGGTTTTGATTTGCAGTTTCCTAATGGCTACTGATATAGAGCATCCTTTCATATGCTTATTGACCACTTACATATCTTCTTTAGAAAAATGTCTATTTAAGTCCTTTGCCCATTTTTAAATCGGGGCATTTGTCTTTTTATTAAGAGTTCTTTATGTATTAGAAAATATTCGCTTAATAGATATATGATTTCCAAGTATTTTTTCCCATTCTGTGGGTTGTCTTATCACTTTCTTGATAGTGCCCTTTGATGCAAAAAGTTTTTAATTATGGTGAAATACAATTTATCTCTTTTTCCTTTTAGTGTTTGTGCTTTGCGTATGTAAGAAACTACTGCTTAACCCAAAGTCACAAAGATTTATGCCTATGCTTTCTCCTAAGTGTTTTATACTTGTAACTTTTACATTTAGGTCTATAATCCATTTTGAGTCAAATTTTGTATATGGTGTGAGGTAGGGGTCCAACTTCATTCTTTTGATTGTGGCTCACCAGTTGTCACAACATCATGTGTTGAAATGACTATTTTTCTCCCCACTGAATGGTCTTAAAACCCTTGTTGAAAACCAACTGATCATAAATGTAAGAATTTCTTTATTCTCAATTCTGTTCACTGATCTGTATGTTTATCCTTATGTTAGTACCTCACAATTTTGATTACTATAGCTTTGTTGTAAGTTTTGAAATCAGGAAGTATACTTCAATTTTTTCTCTTCTTTCAAGATTAGTTTAGCTGTTCTGGATCCCTTGCATTTTTACATGAATTTTAGGGCCTTGTTAATTTCTGCAAAAATCCAGCTGGGATTTTTGAAAGAGACTACATTGAACATGTAGACCAATTTGGGGAGTACTGACATCTAAACAATATTAAGTCTTCTGTCTATGAACACTGGATGTCTTTCCACTTTAGATCTTCTTTAAGTTCTTTCAATGATGTTTTATAGTTTCCACTGTACAGCTCTTGTACTTCTCTTGTTTTAATCCTAGGTATTTTATAATTTTTGATGTTATTATAAATAGTGTGTCTTCTTCATTTCATTTTCAGATTGTTCATTTCTATCATATAGAAATACAACTGATTTTTGTATCCTAATCTTTTCACCTGCAACCCTGATGAGCTCATTTATTTCATTCCTTTCCAATCTGGATGCCTTTTATTTCCTTTTCTTGCCTAACTGCCCTAGCTAGAACTTTCTGTACAATGGTGATTAGAAGTGGTGAGAGCATATTTCCTTGTCTTCTTCCTGATCTTAGGGAAAAGCATTCGGTCTTTCACCATTAAGTATGACATTAGCTATGAGTTTTTCATAGATAATCCTTTATCAGGTTGAGGAGGTGCCCACCTATTCCTAGTTTGTTCAGAGTTTTTTAAAATAAAAGTTGTTGAATTTTGTCAAAGCTTTTTGAGTCTACAGAAATAACCATGCAATTTTTGTCCTTTATTTTATTAACATGTTCTATTGCATTGATTGGTTCATGTTGATCCACCCTTGCATTCCTGGGATGAATCCTACTACATTTACCTATAGTTTTGTTTTCTTGTGATAACTTTGTCTGGGTTTTGGTATAAGGGTAATATTACTCTTGTAAAATGAGTTGGGAAGTGTTCTCTCCTCTTCCATTTTTTGTCAGAGTTTGTGTTGTGTTAATTCTTTAAAAAATATTTGGTAGCCTGTCCGGGCATGGCTCAGCAGTTGAGCGTCGACCTAGGATCCAGGAGATCAGGGTTCGATACCCGGTCAGGGCACATGCCCGGGTTGTGGGCTGCAGCTGATCAACGACTCTCTCATCATTGATGTTTCTATCTCTCTCTCTCCCTTCCTTTCTCTGAAATCAATAAAGATATATTTTAAATAAATAAATAAATAAATAAATAAATAAATAAATAATAAAATAAAATAAAATAAAATAAAATAAAATAAAATAAAANAAATAAATAAATAAATAAATAATAAAATAAAATAAAATAAAATTAAATTAAATTAAAAATATTTGGTAGGCTTCACCAGTGAAGCCAACAGGGCCAGGGCTTTTCTTTGTGGATAGTTGTTGTTGTTGTTTTTTAAATTAATACTTCAATTTCTTTACTTGTTATAGTTTTCTTCAGGTTTTCTATTTCTTCTTAAGTCAGTTTTGGTAGTTTGTGTGCTTCTAGGAATTTGTCCATTTCATCTAGGTTATTTAATTTGTTGGCATATAATTGTTTTATAGTATTCCCTCATCATCTTTTTAAATTTCTGTAGGACTACAAGTAATGTCTCCTCTTTCTTCCAGATTTTAGTAATTTGTGTCTCGTGTGTGTGTGTGTGTGACTCTAGCTAGAGGTTGTCAATTTTGTTCACCCAACTTTTGGTTTCATTGATTTTCTCAATTGTTTTCTATTCTCTATTTCATTTACTTTCATACTAATCTTTATTATTCCTTTCCTTCTGCTTGTGTGGGCTTAGTTTGCCCTTTTGTTTTTTTGTGGGTTTTTTTTTTTTTTTAGTTTCTTAAGGTAGAAGAAGGTTAGGTTATTAATTTGAGATTTTTAATATAAATGTTTACAGTTATAAATTTCCCTCTTAGCACTGCTTTCGCTGTATTCCATAAATTTTGATATGTTGTTTGTTTTTACTCACCTCAAAGTATTTTATAATTATTTTTTGTCCACTGGTAATTTAGGAACGTGTTTACTGTCCACATTTGTGAATTTCCAAAATTTCCTTCTGTTTTTGATTTCTGATTTATTTCCATTGTGGTTAGAGAAGATATTTTGTATGATTTTTATACTTTTAAATTTATTGAGACTTGCGGTCTAACCTGTGGTCTATCCTGGATAATGTTTCATGTGCACTTGAGAAGAATATGTACTCGGATATTAAGTGGGATGTTCTAAACATGTCTGTTAGGTCTAGCTGTTTTATAGCATTGTTCAAGTCTTCTGTTTCCTTCTTCATCTATCTAGTTGTTCTATCTCTAATCAAATTTTGGATCCCAAATGGCAACAGCAATAAGGATCACAAGTGCTCACTGCCTGATTCCCTCACCTAGTGGAATATATGTATTTGGCTGCAGGTTTTCAGCCTCAGAAGGCTGTAAAGTTAAACAATTTATTCTGAGGCCTTTTTACGATGTCATTAATAGAAATTAAAGTGGAAAAACAAAGTAGTTCCATGTCTTCACTTCCTACTACATGATAATTTTAATTTTGCTATGAGGATCTCCTTAAAAACTGAACTAATTCATATCCCTACTTCATCAAATGTCTTAAACATATTGGAGATCACTGTAGGCAGGCTTCCTGTAGCCAGAGTGGCTAGCAAACAAGTGGAAGTCTTTATGATGCCAGACTCTTTTGCTTCCAAAAATCTTCAATATGTACTCCAATTTGATACATGACTGTAGCTGGATTTAAAAGGCAAAGGAAATCCACACTGCTGTGGACTTCAGTCTGGTCAAATCTGTGGCTAAAGAAAGGAGGAAAAGAATACAGCTCCCTAAGATATTCAAGCTGCTCCTTGGTCTCCCTGGATTTATGTGAGCCACCCAATGACCTGGGTGTTATTACCTTGGGGTTATTACCTTCCTTCTTTTTATTGTTCTTAAAAGATCTCAAATGCTGCAAGAACCATCCCCTCCTGCCATTTCCATTCACATAACTTGAGCAGTCCAAGTTTCAGAGAAACGAAATATTTTTCAAGTAGCTCTCTCTTTGGAAAACAGTAATCCAATGTACTTTTCAACTCCTCCATTTCCTGCCCATTATTCATCCTTTCAAAGTCCATCTCAAATGCCACCTCTTCCACAAAACCTCCCAATCCTCTCTTTGTCCACCAGAATTAACAGTTCTTCATGTGCACACACAACTAATGATACCTATTTCACAGTGATTCTATTTTTTCTTGGATATTTAATTGTGAAATGAAGTGGTGTACAATAGGAAAATGTGGGCTTTGAAACCAGGTAAACTTGGATTCAAACTCTGACTCAATGACAGAGGTAGACCACTGAAGACAAAGTGATCATGTAAAGCACTGAGCACTCTGTTGATGAGTGTCTTTGTTTATCCTCACCATTCTGCCCTTTTTGAGGGGAAAATCATTTGGTCATCTTTGCTTGCCTTCTGCCATGTCCATCAGTAGCATCATTATCACAATAATATAGTAGACAACGTTTACTTATTATGTGCCAGCAGTAATCAAAGCACATTACATTACATATATTAACTCATTAAATACTTACAAAACCTTCAAGTAGATATTATTATCTACTTCAAGTAGATATTATTATTATCCTTATTTTACAGATAAGGAAACTGGGCAAAGAAAAGTTAAGTAACTTACCCTAGGTCACACATCTGGTAAGGAGCAGAGTCAGGATATGAATCCAGTACATCTGGCACCAAAGCTTGCTCTCATAATCATCATACTAAACCTCTACTCTAAGTATAGTCTTTGTCAATGAAGAAATTTGCCTTTCTAAGGAATATACATAACACTTAGGCAAAACATGACCAACTCATGATTAGTTGCTCTCAGAATTTCACTTTCCATTAAAAGGAAAACAGACTTTTCCAAACAAAGGCATAAGATGATCTTACAGAAAACACCCAACATTTTCTATCACTACCCCAACAGAATACTATTTAAGTACAAAATTTAGATAGAGTTTTTTTCTGAAGTAAAAACAGTTCTATTTCATCAAGCCTTCCTAAATCTGACAATGAAGACCAAGTTAGGCATGTGGGAGACTACTAAAGAATTAAGTGATCTTTTCAATGGAAAAATCTCACATTACTTTTTACAAATACCTGAAATCCAATAGCAACGCTGTAGGGCCTAATCTACTTACCATTTAAATTAAATCCCCAAAATGATTTCAGATATCATTTCTCCTAAAGCAACTGTTTTCTTTATATTAATAGTCTAAGCCATGGGCCCTCATTACTTGCACCTGAACTAATTTTATGAGAGATTGATTTTCTCTTAATCAACGCAGAAGTTTTCAAAAGGTCATACTCCCAGGAAGACTTACACCACAGAGCAAGCATAACATCCTTTCTTGCTACTCTCGCGAATTAAGAATGCACCATCAGGTTTCCCATAAAGCAAGTCCTCTGCTTGTACTCGATTGATATCTTCAACAAACCAGGTTTTCTCATCATAATGGGGCAGGTTTTCATCTTCATCATTGATAAAATAGGTCCTAAAAATTAAATGTTAAAATATTATTCTAACAGTCAGGTTACTTATATCTAAAAGCAAATTTACAAATAAAAGTCTCTTCTAAATCTTTAACCATAAAATGAAAAAATGAAACTAGTGAGTTGGATGCTTTTTAACAACTTCATTACTTATTATGGTACAGAAAACACAAAATTCACATGTCTCATACAACAAGCTGACACATGGATGTCTGAATGACCAATGCTTTTGTTTCATGTGGTTTAGCAGGTGTCTGAACTCAAATGCTGATAGCATACTCTACAAAATTCAATTCAAAAGAGGAGTGAAGTTCTTGATTCAGTGTCCTCAAATGACAATGAGACGCAACATTTAGCCTGTATAAAGGCGGCCCAGGTCTGAAATATTGGGAACAAAACCCTCTGACAGAGAGGTACAGGGGGAACTTACTCATCAGCATCCTCATTCTTGATTCCTAGCCAGGCATTTAGGCGTTTCTGTCTCACTCCTTTGTGATTGAGCCATCTGCCAGAGGGAAGACACCAGTGTGAGTATCTGTGCAAACTCTGCCTGGACAAAGTAGACACATCCAAGCCAACCAAACTTCCTGAGTCTGGGAACCTCTTATTTTCCCCAATTTCACTGAGAGTGGCCAGAGATTTCCCTAAACTAGGCTTTCCATTACTTTTCCTTCAACTTTCTGCAAAAAGGCAGAAACACAAAGAACTACCTGAAATGAGACGCTTCCCTCACTTTGCATTTTCCTTTTCTAAAAGGTTTTTACCACCGCAAGCATACACATACTTACACTCAAACACAGTGGGACACATATTGCTGAAATCATCAGTTAGGTCAGTATGGTGTCACACATTTACAATCTCCACTAAGCCAGAGGACTCAATTCCTGTGTGGTCTCTACATTGAGTTTAAAATTCTAAAACAGAATTTCACGGTCTGTTTTTGCACCTAAGCAAGCCACAAGAAATTCAGGGTGGCAATCTGAGTGATTAATACAAATTTACTTCATCACCAGGCAAATCATAGTATTCTAAAATACAGCAACATTTTAAAAATTTATTTTAGCAAGAGATAGGAAAGGAGAGTGAGAAAAAGAAACATCAATTTGTTGTTCCACTCATTTATGCATTCACTGGTTGATTCTTGTGTGTCCTCTGACCGGAGATCAAACCCACAACATTGGTGTATCTGGATGACACGCTAACCAACTGAGCTATCTGGCCAGGAAAATACAGCAACATTTTAGATGTAAAATGATATAAACCATTGAGATGGCTGATGGTCTAAAACTTGAGTGGACTATAAAAACTCTTTCATTGCCGTCCCCCAACCAGGCTCCTGATCATTCAGGTCTCATCATAAACACCATTCCTCATTACCCCAACTAAGGCAATCCCTCAGTCGCTCTCAGTATTTTATCATCTTCATAACACTTGCCTGGAATTGTTTTGTATTTTCACTTGTGTTAATGTTTGTCTTGTGGACCAAAAAGGGGCCACATACTAAACCTGACAAGTTCAGGAGAGGCCTACACGGAGGCCTTACAAACTCAGAGACCTAAAGTAACCACAGTTAACTATCCTCCTATACCCACTTATGTAAAAGTATGTGTCTGTTTGTTTGTTTTTATCCAATCCCAGGAACTGATTAGCTTTTGAAAACGACTTTGAGCCAGGTCAGCATGGCTCAGCGGTCGAGCATCGACCTATGATCTAAGAGATCGAGGTTCAATTCTCAGTCAGGGCACATGCCCAGGTTGTAGGCTCGACCCACAGGGAATGTGCAGGAGGCAGCCAATCAATGACTCTCTCATCACTGATGTTTCTATCTCTCTCTCCCCTTTCCCTTCCTCTCTCTGAAATCAATACTTTTTTTTTTTTTAAAAAGACTTTGAAAAAGCTCAAGTGACTTTAGTACGTCAATTCATATTTATCTAATTATTACTGAGTAATGCCTAGGTCACTCCTAAAGACAGTATATTCTAGAGGAAAAAGCTGAGGCCTAAAAATAAAAAGACCTAATGTTAGCCTAGGTAGTTAGATATTAATAAAGAGAAGAGAGCAAAATTGGCTAAGCTTAATTAGGTCGGAAACTACAGCTTCACACACTCCAGGAGATAACCATATTGCCCAACCGAGGGGATTAACACTCTTCCCTCTCCCTCCCCAAATAGGGAGGAAGGACCTGTTCTCCAATCTTCTCAGGGTACAATTGGTCCACTCGCAGGGACTGGGGGGGCAGTGCTGGAGGAATAAACAATAAAGGGGAAATTCCTCTGCAGGGCAAATGCCCAATAGAAGCCAGGATGGTGATCATAATGGGGCATGGGGCGGTGTCTAATCTGGGAAAAAGACCAGACTGGGTAGGGGGAGGACAAGCCAGTGAAGCACTGGAAAAGAGGCTGGTCAGTTTGAAATCTGGAGGTAATATAATCAAAGCTTAACAAAGGGCATTTGTTTGCCCATTTGGTCCTGCGCTCGTGCACTTTCGTGCTCCCAGCAGTCTCCCTCCATAGCAGACATGCATTCCTAGCAGCCATGGAAGCCCAAGCACGGCTCCAAGTACACCTGGCTGCAAGGGCTCCAGGCAGCTTGAAGCATGGGCCTGGATTCAGCAGCCCAGTGCAGCAGGTAACAGAGACTAAGCTAGCCCAACGGGGACAGAAACTGAACTGGACTAAGCTGTGGCATGGACTGAACTAATGGCACAAATTTTTCTGGATCCTGACCCTTCTTCTGGGCTTGATGGAGACAAGGCTGGACTTCTTCCACAGCAGGATGGAGCTGAACCACCTGGCCATGGATGAGACACAGACTCCGGACACCTGGGGACAGTCTTTTGTGCCTGTTCCAACTTCAATAAACCTTACCACTAGGTCTCATCCTCTCATGCTTGGTCCCCAGAATGCTTTTCTCACGATTCTGCAGAAGGACCCCATTTCCACCAGCAACATCAACAATCAGTTCTCAACCTACTAATTGTGTGGTTTTGACCAACCTCTACTTATGCCTCAGTATTCTCTTCTAAAAAACAGGAAAAATACTACTCCCATAGTTAATTTACACTGAAGTTACCTTAAGAAAAACAAGAGAAAAAATAGCTGGTGTTAGTACGGCTTCACCTAGTCCCCAACCCAGCAAGTAGGAAAATAATGTATGTGTATATAGTATCCTTTCTGAAAGTCTAATTCTCCTTACAACCCTAAGAGAAAAAGACCTGTGTTTCAGTCGGAGGAAGAGAATTAAACTAGGCAGTCCCTGAGAGAGGGGAATACAAAAAAATAACCTGAAGCTGAAGCACAAGTCCTGGAGAATTCATGCTTCCCTAGAGCCTGGCTACATCATGAGATGGGTAAAGGAAAAGGTGCCCCCCATGCACCAGGCACCTTGGATGGAGGACAGGAGGTTTTAAGATGCAGAGTCTGTTGGTGGCCAATAAGGAGATCTCTGTGAGGAGCAGCTCTAAATTTCCTGGAACAGCAGTATTTAACCACATGGCAGAATCCAATGGTTAGGGGCAGAGGAAGCACCCAATGATAGCAGTGATGGGGACAAGGGGCTTTTGCTCCACTCGTTTCCTGCAGTACTTCATGATGACATACTTATATAATCCAAGTGTGTGTGTATGTGTAGGAAGTAGGAAGAGTCCTAATCATAACTGAGATAAAATACTTTTCATATAGCCAGGCAAGTGGAAATGTGGAAGAAACTGGTTTTAATAAGAAAAAGAGGAATATAACTTGTCTTATACCAAATTTTATCAACAACTTCACACTCCCCACATAAAAATGAGATAATACATGACATTTTGAAATGAAAAAATCAGTTTTAAAAATTTTAAGTTAAGAGATAAATTAAGGAGTGATTCACTACTTAGAAAAAAACAACAACCAGACCATCACTGGTGGAAATGTAAAATAGTGCAGTCACTTTGGAAAAGTCTGCCAGTTCCTCAATTAAGCACAATAACAATATGACCCAGCAATTTGATTCCTCAGCATATACTCAGGAGAACTGAAAACATGTCCATACAAAACTTGTACACCAATGGTCAGAGCAGCATTATTCATAATAGCCTAAACTTAGAAATAACAGTTGATGAATAGTTAAATAAAATTTAGTATATTCATACAATGGAATATTATTTGACCATAAAAAGGAATGAAGTGCTGACACATGCTACATATGGATGAACCTTAAAAACATCATGCTTGCGCCCGGCTAGGCGTGGCTCAGCGGCTGAGCGTCGACCTGGGATCCAGGCAATCAGGGTTCGATTCCTGGTCAGGGCACATGCCCGGGTTGTGGGCTGCAGCCGATCAATGACTCTCATCATTGGTGTTTCTGCCTCTCTCTCTCCCTCTCCTTCCCTCTCTCTGAAATCAATAAAGATATTTTTTTTTTTAAAAAAACACATCATGCTTGGGGAGGGGGAAGGAACAGGGTGGAACGGGTCACTGGGGAGAAAAAGGGACATCTATAATATTTTAAACAATAATAAAACTTAAAAAACAAAAAAAACAAAAACAAAAAAAAACCCCATCATGCTGAATGAAAAAAGCTACTCCCAAAAGACTACACATTATATGATTTCATTTATATGAAATGTCCAGAAGAGGCAACAGAGACAGAAAATAGTGGTTGTTTAGGGCTGAAGGGAATAGGGTGATAGTGGGATGATAGGTGAAGGATTCATGGTTTCTTTTTGGTATAATGAAAATGTTCCAAAATTGATTATGGTAGATGGTTGCACATATCTGTGGATATGATAAAAATATTACATCATACATTTTGAAACAGGTGAACTGTATGGGATGTAAACTATATCTCAATAAAATTGTTTTAAAATAGAACATATCACCCTCCACAGAACTCCTTTTTTTTTTTAAATATATCTTTGATTTCAGAGAGAGGAAGGGAGAGGGGAAGAGAGAGAGATAGAAACATCAATGATGAGAGAATCATTGATCAAGCCCACAACCCAGGCATGTGCCCTGACCGGGAATCAAACCCCGATCACCCGGATCCTAGCTCAACACTCAACCGCTAAGCCACGCCCAGCCGGGCCAGAACTCCTTTAGTTGCAAACTCCCCTAGTACATATTACTCAAAACTCATCATTAATGCACCTGTATTGTTATGGTAAGTTATTCTTTATTTTGAATTTATGAATTTAGGTTTATGAATACCAAGAAAAGTGAATGGTAATCGAATTGCAAATAAACCAAATTCCATTTTTAAAAAACGAATTTTAAACAGTTTTATATTTAAGATAATTTTTATTCTATGTTTAAGAAATGAAATTCTGTATTTAAGCATTCAAGAATATCCTAGAGCCCAGCAGGGTGTGGCTCAGCAGTTGAGCATCAACCTAGGATCCAGGGGATCACGGTTCGATTCCTGGTCAGGGCACATGCCCAGGTTGTGGGCTTGATCCCCAGTTGGGGGCATGCAGGAGGCAGCCGATCAATGACGACTCTCTCATCATTGATGTTTCTATCTCTCTCTCTCCCTCTCCCTTCCTCTCTCTGAAATCAATAAAGATATATTTACAAAAAAATATATATCCTAGAAACAGTACACTGGGATTTCAGCAGAGAATCTCATAAAATCCTTGTAGGCTACGCAGTGGGAAGTCAGGGAAATGTGCACACCCAAAGAGGGCCTGATGAACTAATGACAAGCTCTAGTTGGGTACTACAGAATCCCAACCTATTCCAACTTCAAAACAGGGCCAAAGCGAGATCATACCCAGTATCATGCAGCAATGCTTATATGTAGCACGCATTTTACAACCAGTCTCCTTCAACGCTGACTAGACAATTTCAGCTTTGGAACACATCCAGCCCACCACACCCAGTACTGTCTTTGTTAGAAAATCAAAGTATGGACTATGGATCACTGGACTACCCTCTCAGAAGCAACCCTTCCGAAAGAGGTAAGGGATGTCCGTGCCTCAAACATCCTAACTGTCTTCACTAGCAGGTCATGGCTTATCATCCATGATGTTATCTAAACTCTCTTTTATATTTAGCTTATTTATCTCATTAAAGGAACCTTGAAGGTCTATTTTGCCACACTTATTCATGCCCCTTGGAATGGTGCATTTCTTAATATCTCATTGCTTTCCAGTCAAAGAAGTGCTTCCATTCATTCCTTTGATCAATGGCAAAGACTTCTTGGGCATTTCCTTAGCTTCACTATGTGACCAGAACCATAAAAGTATTCCAAAAGCAGACACACCCTGATTTTAGACAACAGCATCTTCTTGCCTTATTTCCAAAGCTCTTCTGTATGCTATGTGTATTTGCTTGACGTTTTTGGAGCCGCAACAGCAAACTGAAATGATCTCTCGAGGGGAGTGTTACTAAAAACTACTCGGCATAGTGTAGTTGTAACTGTTTGCCCCTAAAACAATCACCTTAAGTTTCCCTCTACTGAAACAACAGCCACTGGTCCAACTTCTAAGCTTCTTTTATCCCTTCTCTCCCTTTCTCACACAAAGGAAGCCTGATGTCTATGGAAAACACAGTCAGAGGTCTTTACTCTGTCTTCTGCCAGGAGTTTGAATTGAGTTGTTTTGCATGCGTGAAACCCATAAACATATTTCCTAACAGTCCATTCATTACCTAGAACTAAACTTAATATATTTTCCTTTCTCATGGATTTTCTCTTTGAAGCAATCATTTGTCCTAAAAAACTAATCTGCACAATTTGTTCTGATAATATGTCTTTCAATCCATATTTGGATAATATCCCTATACCTAGCTAAATCATATAGTTTTCCATAATATTAAAAAATTAGGTTTTACTCTTCAGATCAAATTATCTTTCATGCTTGCCATGGACACATTTCTATTACTTAAATACAGAATTTCATTTATTAAATGTAAAAATCCTTTAATAGATTGTTCTATTAAGTGTACTTGCATGTGCCTATGAGGGATAATTTCCATTTCTGTGGTTCTAATATGTAACCAAAGATTCTGGTTTTTGTGTTTTAGGCAAACATTACTCTGTACTTTTTAAGCTACATCACCTTGCTCATGCCACAGCCACCCTCTGAGATTTCCAAGGCATTTGTACGAATTAAGAGTCCTACGTTGCCCCCACACATTCACTTTAGGTTAACTTTGGTGCCCCTACTACTAACAGGAATACTTTCCTACATTCTTACTGGCCATTTCTCAATTACAAATCTACCTCTTAACATTTCTAGTGCCAGCAATAATCTGGTGCTGGTGGTTCCCCCCCACACAGGCCCATACTACTCACACAAGATGTTGATCACGGATCTTGCGCAGCTGGATCAGGTCAGGTTTGATACTGTTCATTTTTTTATCTATTTCCCGGTTGTCCAAAGCTTGTTTCTTCAAATCCTGCTCTAGGCGCATTTTGCTATCATGAATCTCACCCAGACGTGATTTCAATTTGTCATAATTCATCATAATTCTGTGAAAATATTTGACATATTAAGGCTAAAATAGGAACCAAGCAGAAGCATTCTACAGTGGGAGCAGAGTCCTAATATCTTAAGTGTGGTCGACATCTGCTGTTTTTTGCTGGCCCATGTCCATTCCCATTCTTCTGGTAATAGCACCCTGATGTTCCCTGTAGTAGGGGTTCCCTGCCCCCATCTCAGATTCACAGGTGAACATCCACACAACCCAGCCTGGCCAATAAAAGTATTCCATCCCATCCTGTCCATGCCCTTAGGCCACAGTGACTGGTTCTAGAATTGGAGTAATACCCAAACTGACTCAACGAGAGTCAATTCCAGGATTTTTGCTAGAACTCTTGTAAAGAGATTCTCTTTCCACTGGGATTGCTAAATTATGAATATGTATTTAATTCTAGGGACTCCCAGCTGCTATTCTGTCATCTCATAGGGAAAGCCTGCCTGAGGATGAAGCTGACACAGAGAAAAATGGAACCAAAAGACAGAGAATGAGAGAGGATCCTGATTACCTTGTTTGGGCTTTGGATCGAGCTATAATTGAACAGGTAAAGCTATATAGATGATATCAAGAGATAACACAATATAGCAATTAAGAGCAATGGCTTTGCAGTCAGCCTGCCTAAGTGTGAATCTCTGGCCTGCCACTTACTGTATGACTATGGGCAAGTTACTTAAATTCTCTGAGCCTTCATTTCCTCTTCTGTTTAAAATGGGTACTTAAATAGTACCTACTTCATACCTTGGCCAGGTGGCTCAGTGGGTTGGAGCATCATCCTGTACACCAAAAGGCTGTGGGTTCAATTCCCAATCGGGGCAAGTATGGGAGGCAACCAATCAGTGTTTCTCTCACATCGATGTTTCTCTCTGTCTCTCTCCCTTTCTCTCTAAAAATCAATAAAAATATATCCTTAGGTGAGGATTTAAAAAAAAGAGATTACGGCTGATAATCTCTCTCTCAAAAAAAAAATAGTACCTACTTCACTGGGTTACTGTGTAAATTAAATGTGATAATATACATGAAAGGACTAAACAATGCCTGGTACATCTTCGTAAGTACTCAGCAGCTGATGGCTATAAGCTTTTCCAGCATACAGTTTTGCTGTGCTCTGAACCCTTAAGGCAACAATTGTCCACACTACTCATCATTCAATATGCAGTTTTATATTACTATTAAAATGTCATCATGTTACTTTACCTCCAATTGCAACTAAACTACAAGTTCTTGTCTATTTCTTCATTATTAATAATTGCCATTTATTGACAGCATATGCCAAGATACACTCACACACACAAACATGCCTTCCTGTATTACGAATGTGTGTGTGTATGTATGTGTGTGAGAGAGAGAGAGAGAGAGAGAGAGAGAGACTTAACCCACATAGCATTTCAACAAGATATTATCCACAGTTTATGGAAGAGGAAACAGGCTCACAGAGCGAAGGAACTCATCCAAGGTCACACAGCTAGTAAACATTCAACCCAGAATCCAAGCCCATGGTTTTCGTATTAAGCTATTCTGCCTAACAGCACTTAGCCCTATTCTTTTGCACACAGAAGTTCACTAGCACTTTGGTGCTAACATGAGAAATAACTTTGCTTTACCCTTGCATAGGATTCATTTCTGTTTGTTATCCACTTCTTCTCTCCTCAACCCACTGTTATCTGGCTCAGTCTTCCAATATTCCACTAAATTTGCTTTGAAAAAGGCTTACAATATCCTTTGGTTGCCAGATCCAATACCTCCCATGCTGCTCATTCTCCCCGTATAATCTCATTCTTAGCATCTATCGTCACCTGCACACTTATGCCTCCCAAATCCTTCCTGTACCAAGTTCCAAATTCAACAGTCTTTCAGACAACTCCATTGGCTTCTCACAGGAACCTCAACCCTAAACTCTCCTCATACTCTCTACTTAGGTGGATAACACCATCCCTTTGTCACTCATATTCCTTAGTCCCTAGGAATAATCTTTGACTCATCCCACACCTATCATTCCTAGTCAGGCCTCAAGTCCTCAGCATCCATTAACTCCACCTCCTTTCCTGCCATTGTTCTGGTTCAGGCCCTCACCATCTTTTATCCTGATGACCACAAAGACTGCAGCCACCTGCAACAGTCAGGCTGCTCTTCCTGCCCATGGTCTTGTTCCACCTCCGATTTATTCTCAGACTGCTGCTGTTGATTTTCAGTTCAACAAGTATTCAATGAGCACCACTATGTACGCTCTGGCACCATAACAAGTGCTATAACTATCAGGAAAATAAGCCAACATCCTTACTTTCAACAAGCTCACAGTTTAGTGAGTGGGATATTCCACAAATGTTACAGTAGGAATTGGGACCAGATATTGTAGGGGCAAGGCCAGTCTCAGGAAGATTTTTCTAGAAAAAGTCATGTCTAAACTGAGTCTTAAAGGGTGAACAAGAGTTAACACTTAGGAGGCTGGAGAAAGAATGAGGAAAAGAGGAGGTTGAATTTGGTACCATTGGTGGAAACAGCAAGTATTTCCATATGGAAGGACTGTGAAGTTTGAGGGGTAAAAGCAAACACAACAGAGATAATTGGGAAAGAAAAGACGTCTTGTCTCACTGATGTACTTGCAGGTATTAGGTAGATTTACCGTTCAATTTCCTTTTCATTTCCCTCCCTGCGAAATCGCTCAATATATTCTTTGCGATATTGTTCTTGCGTGTGACACTGCTCTTCAAATATTTTAATTGTTTCATTAAAGGCTTCAATTGCAGTCCGCTTCATCTGTATTTCCTATAGGAGAGAAAAAGAAAAGACATACACTTTATTATCTTTATTTTATTTTGTAACTTTGTTACAATTCCATGTAAGACTGAATTCAAAAGGATAAACCAGGGATTTTCATCTCATCCACACATAGACTAATTACTAAAATTTTCTGCTGATCTGACAAAAAGATAGGTATAATTTGACAGCTATCGTTGTGTTGGCTGTTGTCTTTTTTTTTTTTAATCCTTACCTGAGGACATTTTTTCCACTGCTTTTCAGNTCGATTGGTTGCCTCCTGCATGCGCCCCGACGGGGGCCAGGAATCGAGCCTGCAACCGAAGTATGTGCCCTTGGCCAGAATCGAACCTGGGACTCTTCAGTTTGCAGGCCAAGGCTCTAACCACTGAACCAAACCCGCCAGGGCTGTTGTCATTTTTTTATTTGATAATCTAAGGGAAAAGGGGTCAGTTCCCCTGACTAAATAGTCAGGTATTGCATGTTTTAACAATTCCTGTGGTACATCAGTTAAAAATCCCTGGGCTAAAACAAGACCCTTTATGTAACTCCTACCCTTATTACTTATATGCAAAATGCATCATTCAAACTCTAAAATAAAAGAAAAAGAACTATTACCTGAAATATAGCTGAGAACCACAAAAAGGCCTCTGAGTTGCTAAGAGGGATTAACCCTGAACACCCCAAAGACAAGGACGAAGTTCTGCCTTTGCACCTATTGTAGTGCTGACCCCCAAAAGGTGCTGAAGGAGTGAATGGATAGAACAGAGGAGTCCATGCACCAATGTGCAAAGCCTTATTCCCAGAAGAACCCTATAAAGTCTATTTATTCTTACTTTCTTTTTTTTCTTTTTTAAAAATATATCTTTATTGATTTCAGAGAGAGGACAGGAGAGGGAGAGAGAGCTAGAAACATCAATGATGAGAGAGTCACTGATTGAGCCCGCAACCCAGGCATGTGCCCTGACCGGGAATCAAACCCCCGATCACCTGGATCCTAGGTCGATGCTCAACTGCTGAGCCACGCCCAGCCGGGCATTTTTTTTGTTAATCCTCACCTGCGGATATTTTTCCCCACTGCTTTTCAGATAGAATGGGAGGGAGGGAGTGGGAGAAATATCAATGAGAGAGAGAGAGAGAGAGAGATACATCAACTGGATGCCTCACACACTCACCCTGACCTGGGGCTGGGAGCGAACCCGCAACCAAGGTACATGCCCTTGACCAGGAATCGAACCCATGATCCTTCAGTCCACAGGCTGACACTCTAACCACTTAGCTACACTGGCCAGGGCATATTCTTACTTTGAATTCTAAAGTATGTAGTTTTCAAAACAGAGTCATCAGTAGATTAATCTGATTAGAAGCAGAAAATGAAAAGGAGAAGAACAGCTGCTAACATCAGATGCAGAATAAGATGTAAAACTAAAAACTTCATAAAACAAAAGCCCAGCAGGCTAAGCCATTCAGCACTAGGGCAAGAAGTCCTACACATTTCCATCAGCTTTGTGGGTAGGATTTGTAGACTTCAGCGTCTGAATCATGATTCCCCTAAAACCTTCAAAGAAGATTAGATTTTGTTCAATTTACTTTAGAAAGTCAAGAAATATGTATAAAGGTCTAGGAAGATTACTATCCTGAATGTTTACAATTTTTAAAGTTTTGGTGTTCATGAGATAATTCCTCAACTATCCAGCACGAATTTCAACAAATAATTATTGAAAATCCACTATACAGAAAGTACCATGTGGTGATAAAGAGATTCATAAAACATGGAGCCTACCCTTTCTGGATTTGGACTACACAGGTGAAAAAGATTTCTGCCCTCTGCTAGGTTTTGTTTCATGTGGTGGTAAAGGAAATCAAGTGGGGTGAATCAGTTACTTACTCCTTCACAGAGGCTTCATGGAGAAGTCCACGTTTGAGCCACATTTTAAAGAACTGGGGTAGGGGAAAATGCAGCATCACACATAGATGGCATGGCATGGTATGTACATGAAATAATAGGGGATGTTCAGGGATGAGCAACTGTTCAGTAGGGTTGGAACATAAGGGGACTGGCTGATGAGGGGAGCTCAAACCCTTATGATGTTCCATATAATTTGAGGTTTATATCATACGTATCTCAAATAGCACTTATTGAAATGCCCATATCTAAATATTTAGCTACAAATTCTACACTCTGAAATTATAGTGGAGGGTCTTGGTTTCCTTGCAAGGTTAGAAATTACCTACAAAGCTCTGGCCCTATATCTTCAAAGAAAACACCAGTAATTTAGACTTTACTAACACTGGCTTATGTGTTGGTAGATAGGACAGCAAACGGGAAAGTATTTGATATCACTGCCCAAGCAGCCGCTCCTCGTAAACAATGCCACTATACCTACCACCAAAACTATACACCTACCTAGATCTACACACCATCCTTCTTCCTCTTCCCTTTACCTACCTGTGCTCTGCGTCTCACCTCTTCTTCCTTTCTCAGGTACTTCCTCCGTCACATCAGCCACTCCCTCCTCTTACATCATTAACTCTCCCGGTCTAATGGTTCCTTCTCATCAACACACGAACAAGTTCTAGTTACACCACTCTGAAATAAAACCCCTAACCCTAAATTCTCTCCCAGTCACAGTTAAGCTTCTTGAAAGAGCTGTTTATATGACTGTCTCTCTTTCCTCATCTCTCATTCACACTCCAACTCACTCTGTTTTGGCTTCTGTACTCACCATTCCACAGACACTGATCCTCCGAGGTCACCAATGACCTCATTGCCAAATTCCTGTCTCTTATCCCAATCTATCACTAAGTCCTACTGCTTTTCCTCCTAATTATATGTAATCCAGATGTCAAATATCCCCACATACAGTCTATTCTCAACCTGTGCCAACTCTGACTTAGGAAACACCACCTCTTTCCCATTCTCTAGGAAGAATTCACTTACATCAAAGCAATCTAGACTTTATCTAAGATTTCATAGAAACACAAAGGAAGTCTGTAAACTTATAAACACTACTATAACACAAGGAGGTCTATAACACTTATAAACAGAGGATGTCAATTCTTTAATCTCTCTTTAACACACTGTCCCAGCACATCTCCTGTACTACTAATCACTGTCTCTCTCTCTCGCTTCCCCCACCTCCCAAAGCTTTAAGCCTCCATGGATTTCTGTGCTTGGCCCCATCGCAAGTCCTGCTCTGAATTCTCACATAGAGAAATTCAGCCCTCTTCTAGCTTCGACCTACTAGTGGCTTTTTGGTTGCCTCCATCTCCCCCCCATACCCAGCTCTCCAACCAGGGATTCCAAGTCCAGAACCTGGTCTCATATCAGCTACTCAGAACTCATACTCTGCTGTAAAATCCCCAATATTACTAAGTATGTTTGCAGCATGTGGCGCTTTCTCTGCTTTCTCCAACCATGACAGAAAGCAGAAATGAGGCTCTATACAAGCCAAAGCCACATGCAACAGCGGCCATTTTCCTTGCCTCTATTCACAGGAGGGTTAGCCCTCCCCTAGACTCCACTTCACACCGTAAGTCTGACTCCATCCCCTTGCCAAGGGTGGAGTGCTTTTGGTTCATTATCTTGCATAAATTCATTCAACAAATAATTCAACACTAACTATATGCCAGGTATTATCTGAAGTGTTCAGGATATATAAGTGAACAAGCTAAGATTTCTGCCCTCTTGAAACTTATAGTTTAGGGGATTATACAGACAATAAATAACAGGCATGATAAGTAAATAAATTACATAGTTTGTTAGAAGGTAAGAAGTGTTATGGAAAAAAAGGAAAGTAGAGTGGGAAAGGAAGGTTGGAATGTGAGTTGCAATTTTAAATAAAGTTGTCAGGTATGCCTTACTTTGATGTCAACATTTGAGGAAAGACTTGAAGGAGGTGAAGGGGTTAGTGAGGTGACTATTTGGGGCTAGGGGGATGTGTTTAAGGCAGTGCAAACACACGAAGGTAGGAAGCAGGTCTAGTATATTAAAGGTACAGCAAGGAGGCCGGTGGGGCTGGAGCACAGCAAAGAAGAGTATTTAATAAAAGAGGTCCAAGAGGAAAAGGAGCACAGATGATAGTGGGCATTATAGAAACAACTCTGGCTTTCAGTCTGTGTAAAATATGGAACCAGAGCTGAGTCTCAAACAAAGGAGTGCTGTGATCTTACCTCTGTTTTACAAGTATCATCTAACTGGGGCAGGGGAACATGGATAAGGAAAGGAAGCCCAGCTAGGAGGTTTCTGTGCTAAATCAAGGCAAGGCAAGAAATGATAGTGCCTTAGTTCAAGGTATTAGCAATGAATGTGGTGAGAAAGGGTTGAATTCTGGGCATATTCTAAAGGCAAAGTCAACAGGAATTCCTGATAGATTGGATGCAAGGTATAGCAGAAAGGATCTACTAGGATGACTTCAAGAATTTCAGCCTGAGTAAGAAGTATATGATTTCTCTCAACTGAAATGGGAAAGGCAAAGGGTAGAAGAGTCTTGAGGTGAAATAACAGGGTTCAGTTTTGGACATATTAAGTTTGAGATATCTACTAAGCATCCAAGTGAAGCTGTTGAATAGGCAGTTGGACATATGAGTCTAGAGTTAAGAGAAGTTAGAAGGACCAGAGATATGTTTGGGAGTTACTGGCATATAGATGACATGTAAAGCCATGAGATTGTTTGAAATTACCAGAAAGTAAATGAGTAACTAGAAAAGAGAAGGCGCCCTGGCCTGGTAGTTCAGTTGGTTAGAGCTGTCCTGATATACTAAGGTTGCAGGTTCGATCCCAGGTCAGGGCACATACAAGAAACAACCAATGAATGCCTAAATAAATGGAACAACAAACCGATGCTTTTTTCCTCTCTCTCCCCCCTGCCTCCCTAAATAAAGAAGACTAGAATACATTTGCGGGGGGAGGGGGGGGAGAAAGAGAGAGAGAGGGGGAGAGAAGACGACCAAGGTCAAAAAGGAGAAATCAACAAAGAAGATTGAAAAGGAACAATGAAGGAGGTTCAAATCTCAGTTGCCTCTACTTATTTCCAGATCTGAAAGTTCCATTTATGGTTATTATTATGGATTCCTGTTCCACCTCTGATCTATAGAAATACTCATATTGGTTTTGTATATAGCCATGTGCTTTCAATGTTTATCATTATTAGTGGGAGATATAAGGTAAGTGCATAAAACAAACGCACAGCTTAACAAATTATTATAAAATGAACATCCGCTACCATCACCCCAGAAATTCCCTGTGCACCCTTTCTGGATCACAACTCTCTGCTTCTTCCCATTCCACCTCCCCTGCCTTGGTGGTAACACTATCCTTTATGATGATCATTTCCTTATGATTCCTTATGGTTTTACCACTTTATGTTCTCATCCAAAATAAAAAAGTTTACATCTGCCAGGTTTGTACATTTTATAAACAGACTCATATTATATGTGTACTTTTGCATCTTTTGTTCAATATTCTTTGTGAGATTAAACATAGTGTTGTATGTGGCCCTTACTATATTTGTGTAAATATATACACATAACACAATAAGTACAATGCTCACTGTATTTAACAAATATTGTCAGAGTGCTTCAAACTTTTGAAGAAGAGGGCCTCATCTCTCCTTCTGTGTTTCTGGAGTCAAGCATAGTATCATGTCTAGACCAGGTACTCAGTACGTGCCTCTGGATGGTTATATTGACCTTTGTAACCAGATGCTTTGTCTCTCTCTCTCTCACACACACACACACTCAAATATCGTTGGGGTTGCCATTATCTCCATCTTACAGATGGGAATGTGAAACATAGAATCTCTCAAGGGACAAAAGCAATTTTTAACATAACCAGGGTTAGAAAATAAATCTCCTGAATTCTAATTCAGTTTATTTTATATATTTTAAGAAGTAACACATGTAAACGGAAAAAAAAGTCAAACAATATAAAAGAATATAGAGTAAAGAGTAAGTTTTCTTACTGCCTTAATTATCTTACCCAGAGGATATATCAGTTTTTGTCCAGAGACTTTGAGTACATATTAACATGTGTACATATATCACCCTTTACCCTCTTTCTTTTTTTAACCATAAATGACAGTATATCACATATATTTTTCTATAGCTTGCTTTTTTTTTTATTTACTCTCTCTTAGAAATCACTCCAAATCAGTAAATATAGACCTCCCTCACACTTTTTGATGGTTATAGAAGACTTTTTCTGCCTCCCCTGCAGGTAGTTGTGATCTGTAGCTACGTCTAGTCTAGCCAGTGGGAGGAAAATGGAAGCAGTGTGTGTTTCCCAAGTAACCTTAAAAATAGGGAACATTCCTTTTTTTCTCTTTCCTAGTCTTTCTTCCTGTTTGCAAGAATATGGTTATTATGGCTGATATTGGAATAAGCCAACTTCCACAGATAGCAAAGCATCAAGATGGAAGAACCCTAGGCCCTAATTACTGTGGAGTTGCCATAAAACCCCTCAACTGCCTACACAGAAAAATAAATTTCTATCTGAAGCCTTTGTTATTTTATTTTTTTGTCACTTGGAGTCAAATCTTATTCTAGTTAATACTAACTAATATAAAATATATCCTTGACCAATAAAAAAGTTATTAATGAATGAGAGAGGAACTTGTATCATCAAAGTCTCAAAAAGGCTATTTAAGATATTAAAACAGCTAAAGTTTGTCGGGTGAATTAAAGAAAATCTGATGTAACTGTAATGTTGAATACTTATTGGCCTAAATAATAAAAATATACTAACCTGGGATGTTCTGGTATATTCTTCATATAGCCTGTCATACTCTTTACTCTTTTCCTGATACTGAGAATGGTACTCCTGCAGTTTTTTACCTACTGCATCAATATTATCTTCTTTTACCAACTGATCCTGTGCAGGTAAACAAAAGAAGTCAAGAATGACAACAATTCTGACATGAATTTTCACATCTATTTATTTTTAAATTGTAATTTCTACTGTAAGTTTAAGCCACTGGATTAGTATCAAGCATGCAAAAGCACTAAACCCTTTTGTTAACACTAAGATCAGTCTTTCTATCACAGCAAAATATTTAATACTTTAAAAATTAAGAAATAGCCCTGGCCTGTGTGGCTCAGTGGTTAGAGCATCGGCCCATGTACCAAAGGGTTTCAGGTTCCATCCCTGGCCTTCTCAGGCATGTGAAGGAGGCAACCAATCTTGATGTGTCTCCCTCATATCGATCTTTCTCTTTCTCTCTCTCTCTTCCTTCCTTCCTCCCTCCCTCCCACTCTCTCTAAAAAACAACAACACAACAAACCAAAAACCAAATCAATGGAAAAAATATCCTCAGGTGAGGATTAACAACAACAAAAATTAAGAAATAAAGTATAAATAGAAAACATAAATGAAAGTATTTTTTATATAAAATTAATAAATACATGCAACAAGTTATTAATAGTTGTCACAAAATAAGTTCTAAAATTCTTAAATCTTCAGTAGAAAATTTTAAATGAACTAGATTTTTTTTAAACTGATAAGCCTGGTAAATTATAATCAAATAATCATGTTAAGTAATGACTTGCTGAATAGCTATCAAGAACTTGTGTGATCATACCTGTTGGTATTTGGACACTGGGTACATCAGCTTCACATCAAGTTTGGGATTGTACTGAGCAAGAGATTCATGATGATAGTGGTTAATGAGCTCCACCACAGAATTAAATGTCAGAGGGTCAGAAAAGCCATATTTACCATCTCGATGATAGATCTTTATTAACTTATTATTGCCTCCTTTCCTGTGAACAACAAGACAACCACTATAGATTTCCTCCCCAAATTCTACTGAAGTACTGCTTTCATATGAAGATATGAAAGCTTGATGTCACATAATAAACAAGTTTTATTATGTTGAGGCTGTAACAGATGAATAGACATATATAATTATGTGTGTAAAAGTATATATAATATCATGTTATTTTTACAACGATTTCTTTCGTCTATAAATATCTTGCTTACTAAAGGCCAACATACCTATATAGCATTCAGTATCAACAAATCTGGCAAAAATAATCACTTAAGAAAAACACTATAAGTATCTTTCCCCCCCCCACCCCCCGAATGAATTATATTTCTAGCTCTCCTGAACTTTAGATAAGCACAGCTAAACAGAAGAGGTCCAAGGTCTAGGCTCTGGGGTACGCCAGTGTTTAGTGGTCAGGCAGATGAGGAAGAACCAGCAAAGGAAACCAAAAGAGAGCAATTAATGAAATGAAAGGAGAACTAAGAGTGTGTTACCTTAAAAAATATTTATTTATTTATTTATTTATTTCTAAAAACAATTTTTTAAAAAGCATTTCAACAAAGAGGAAATAATCAACTAGGTAAATGTCTTGGGGCTTGACAAAGTACAGATCACTAAGTGATCTTGATAAAATGGTTTCAGTGGAAGGGTAAGGATGAGTGCCTGACTGGAACGGATTAAAGGGAATGAAAGAAGAAGAAAAAGAATGCCTATAAACAACTGTCTTGAAAAATATTGCTGTAAATAAGAGCAGGGAAATAGCTGGAAAGAGATATAGGGTCAAGGAAGTTTTCTTTATTATTCTTAAATGGGAGCCTGTAAAGCATATTTATATGCTAATGGAATGACTCAGTAGAGAGACAAAAACTGTTGATCCAGAAAAAAAGGACAAGATAATTCCCTGGGCAGTGTCCCTGAATAGATCAGAGATGGGATCCAGTCCACAAGTAGAGAGGTAGATCCTGGACAAGAGCGTGAAGAGTCAGCCTCCCACTGGAACAGGAGAAAGGCAGTCTCCACATTCAGGTGCAACTATGTCGATAGTTGTGGCATTAGGAACATAAGGAAGTTAGATCTCTTCTGACAGCTTCCATGTTTTCAGTAACAGGAAGCAACTTCTTTAATTAAAAGGGAGATGTGTTATTGATTTGAAGAGAAAAAAAAGAACACATGAAATTATGATGTAGGAAAGTGGGAGAGCAAATGGATTTTGAAAATGCAGAAAATCATCTGGACAGTACTAAAATCCTGCTTAAGATTAGTAGTCACAAATTTAATGCAAGACCAGTCAGCATGGTGTATTTTTCTTGAAATTTAGCTGTCCAGGTATAGGCAAGGAATAGACAGGGTTGAATTTACAAATGTTGGAATATAGTTAAGCGACTACAATGGAGGGAAAGCAAGTTCGTTGAGGATCTATTCACAAGGATAATTTTAACAGTGGACCACAGACTCTTAAGCAGAGAAGGAGGGGAGTGAAGCTATGAAGTATTTGAGGAATGGTGAATTTTTAATTATATGTCTCTCTCCCTCACTACAATCTTCCTGAACAGAGAACCATGATATTCCCTCTTGAACCCTAGCACCTGGCCCAATGCCTAGCATAGAGCTGATTCCTAAAGATGTTAACTATCCAGATTTTCTACAATGAACACTATTTACTGACTTTAAAAGTGGACATTGAATTGAAAAACCTCTACTTGCTCACCACCTACTCACTCCAGTGTGATTTTACTCTCATTTCTCTCACTTGAAGGTCATCAATGACTCTGACCAAATAGACTCTACTCCAGGCTCTACCCCAGGCTCAGATTCTTTGCAGTGATTGAAATTTCTACTCTCCCTTCCTTCTTCCCCTTCCCACACCCAATATCCTTCTTAATATTTCACCCTCCCATGACTTCTACGACACCACTCTTTTCTCGCAACCTCTTAGACTGCTCTTTCTTTGCTTCCTTCCTGCTTCTAATCACAGTCATTCCCCAAAAAGAATTTGCCTTCAGCCTCTACCCTTTTTCGTTCTCTGAGGTCCTTAAAATCGCATTTATTCTAGGTAGATGATACTGAATCTTTTTCTGGCCCTATACTCTCTTCTAGGTATCTTCTATACATCTGGATATATTCTAGATACATTTTTTACCTAGAAGTTCTGGAGCAGCTAAAAATCAGTATCTTTCCCAATTCCCCAGTAAAACACTGCTCCTGACAGTGTTTCCTATTTCTATAAATGGAATATTCATTCTACGCCCAGCAGGCTCAAACCACAGTCACCTTCAACTCCCTCTCAACCTCATACCTATTCTATTATCAAATCCCTTCTGCTCTTAGCTCCCCACTGCCTTACTTTGACTCAAGTCCTTTCTTAAAGCCACTATCCCAGGTATAGCGTGTTCAGTCTTTAGATCATGACATTCCCCTTGTTAAAACCCTGTATTGGTGGTGGTGTTTTTTTGCACTTAGAAATAAAATTCAAAGTCCTTACCATGGTTCATTAGGCTCTCTACATCTGGCTTCGTCCCACTTTCAGCTTCATCCCCTACCACTCTGTGGTCACACTGTAAGCCAGCCACAGTGGTCTGTGTATTCATTGGATCTACCAAATCTTCCCAAAATCAGTGTCTTTGCACTTTCTGTTCCTTCTCCCTGGAATGCTTTTCTGGCTGGATCTTTCTAATCCTTCAGTTTTCAGAGGTCATACCCTTATAAAGGTCCTCCTTTTCAAAACTATCTTAAATTCCCTTTCCCCATATTCTCTATCACATAACCCTATGCATTCCCTATTTAGCACTTTGTAACTGTGAAATTACCTCATTTCTTTTTTATGTGTTTATTGAATCTCCCCCACCTCTGAACATAAACACTCTAGATAAGAGACCATGTTTGGCTTGTTCATCATTTCCTTTTCCTAGAGCAGTACCTATTAACACTGTGGGCACTTAATAAATATTATATGATTAAAGACTAAATCCTTGCCCAGCTGGTATAGCTAGGCAGTTGAGCATCGACCTATGATCCAGGAGATCGTGGTTCAATTCCCGGTCAGGGCACATGCCCGGGTTGCAGGCTCGATCTCTAGTTGGGGGCATGCAGGAGGCAGCCTATCAATAACTCTCATCATTGATGTTTCTATCTCTCTCTCCCTCTCCCTTCCTCTCTCTGAAATCAATAAAGACATATTTTAAAAAAAAGAAGAAGAAATCCTCTTCTGGATCACCATTACCTCTCAATTCTTAACAGTCTGAGCATATAATTTCTGTGCTGAAAAAATGCAATGGTTCCCTCTGCCTATCTACGATATTAAATACGAACTCCAAATTTTGGAATTCAAGTCCCTCTTCAACATGACCCTTTTCTAACCTTCTATCCCCCCTACCACTTTTTCCTCTTTACAAACTCTACCCACTAACCAAATGGGACTGCATCTCACAGAACAGGACTCTAGTTTCTCGCCTCCACATCTTTTTCCTATTGTCACCCAATCCTGCAACCCTCCTCCCACTTTCTACATATCCAAACCTAATCCCTTCTTCAAAATACATTGCAAATGCGATTTCTTCCATGAAGGACAGATTTCTATATTTTCTCAACAAGTTATCTCTTGCCCTCTTTTAAGCCCTCAAAGCACATTGTTTGTACTCTCCTGTTATTGTAAGTTTAATTCAAAGCCGTTTTCTTATTACCTTTACCCTCACTAGACTGTCTTCCTTGAAACAAAAGTTTTAGCTCATTGTTTGATCTTCTGCAGAGAAACTAGTACTGAGCTATGAGAATTTACTAAATTGAATTAAGACCAGCACTTTTCTGCCTAGCAAAATCTGTCAAGGCTCAGTTCAATTTTCATTTCCTCTGAGAAATCTCTTTTTCTTTCTCTCACTTATTCCTTCCTTCAAGTATTTATTGAGTACCTACTATATGTCAGACCTTGTGCTAGATACATGAAAATTTTAAAACATTCTTTGCCAATGTCCACCAACCAATGAACAAAACGTAGTATATACATACAACAGAATATTATTCAGCCTTAAAAAGGAAGAAACTTCTGACATATGCTATAACATGTATGAAACTTAAAGACCTTATTTGACATTAAATAAGCCAGACACAAGAGGATAAATACTGTATGATTCTACTTATATTAGAAATAGTCAAATTCAGAGACAGAAAGTAGAACAACAGTTACCAGGGGCTGGGAAAAGGAAAATGGGGAGAACTCTAATGTAACATAATGTAACATTTAGATACTGCATTAAGGTAGAGTATAAATGTGCCTCTCCCATTCCACCATTACACATCTAGATTATGAATTCTTGAGAGAAAAACCATGCCTTATTCATGTGATAATCCTGGCCCTAGCACAATATCCAGCAGAAAGATAACCTTATTTTAAACAATAAAATGGGCTGCCTCAAAGGGAATATGCTAGCTCCCTATGACTGAATGATCACTTGGAAGCTCAATAATGGCCCTTTCTGAAAAATGCTACGCAGAGAATTCCTACATCTGGAGAAACCCAGATGAACCAGGGAATATTAACGATCCCTTCCAGCTGTAGGTCTCTAACATAAGAATTCTCATGGTGGCCCTAGACTAGAAAGCAATAAGTGGGACCCCACAATGGTCTTTGTTTCTGAAGAGCACTGCAACTTTAGATAAGTTACATAGCTTTTGCAGGCTCTTTTCCTCATCCCCAAAATATAAAAATTGTTGCTTTTAATGAGTTGTAATCAGGAATCTACCCATTGTAAAAAAGCACCTTAGTGTAGGATTAAAACCACTTTCCAGATAAATAAGGACATTCATTCATTTAATAACTATCTATTAGGCATCTATTATCTAATGCCTATCCATTATTACACACTAATCTAGACTCTGGGGATATAGTAATGATTAATCAAAGTCCTTAATCTTAGAGAACTTAAATTTTTGTGGGGTGATATAGACAAGATGGGAGAGAAGATGAAAACAGTGAGCAGCCCACACAGAGAAGTAAATTGAGGCAATAAACATCCTTGGTTGGCTACTTTGGATTGAGTGATTAGGGAAGATCTGAAGAGGTGACATGTATTTACAGATTTGATGACAAAAAGGAACCAATTATGCAATGATCAGAAAGAACAGCTACTGCAAACAGCAGATAGAACAGCTATTGCAAAGGCCCTGAGACAAGAATAAGCATCACTTGTCTGAGCATCACTTGAAAGGCTAGTGGGGTCAAATGTAATGGATAGAGAGAATGACAAGAAATGAGGTGTAAGAAGGAGACCAATCCCAGGTCAAATAGAGTTTTGTAAGTTAGAATGAAATCCAAATTCTTTACCTTAGATGCAGTAGAGAAACTTAAAGAATTTTAAGCAAAGGAGTAATTAGACTCATATCTTAAAATGATCACTCTGGTTGCTGTGTAGAAAATGGGTCAACAGGAGTGGGGAAGATTAGCAGTTATAAGATGCTGGGAGGCCTGTTGGAGGTGACTACAAAAGATCAAGCAAGATGATAGTGGCTTAGATTTAGATGGCAGAGAAGTGTGAAGAGATTACGAATATAGATTTAAAGGTAGAGTTGGCAGGACTTGTTTAATGATGAATTGGATGTGAGGGTGAGAGAAAGAGAGGGGAAAAGGCTCGTGGCTTGAGTAACTGTAGAGATGGTGGTTCTATTTCTTAAAAAAGTAAAGACTTGAAGAAAACCAGTTTGGGTAGGGGAAACTGGGTTTGAAATAAAAAATTCTGCATTGACCATGTTAAAATTAGTATATCCACTAGTTATGTGGTGACAAAGCCAATAAGACAACTAGATATATGCATCTGGAGTTCTGAAGGTCAGAGCTGGAGATAAGGTTTATGAATCATCACTGCATAATTGTTTATTAAAACCAGGGGACAGGACAAACTTTGCCGTGGGAGAATGAATACAGAGAAGAGGAGGCTTCGCCCAGGAACACTTAACACCTTGCTGACCGGCTATTTCGAGCCAGAACTCGCCCGTGCAGCTGGCTACTTTTCCACTGTTTTAAAACTCTACATTGCTTTCAGACCTTAAAATTACTTAAAGTAATGTAAGTGCCGACACAAATTATCTCATGACCGGTCAGCAACATTCAGACACGGAAACACAAGTATACTCATGACCAGTCAGCAAGGTATTCATTTAGATATTGACTAAAGGAGTGGCATAGAACTGGGGGGGGGAATCAAAAGAGCATGATATCACGACAGTCAAGACGATAAACTGTTTCTAGGAAGAAGTGTCTATGACTAATGCTGCTAAGAGGTCAGGCAAGGTAAGAAGAGAGAAGTGGCCGTTGGTTTAGCAGTCCCTGTAGAGTGATAAGACAGAAGCCTGAATCGAGTGAGAAAAAACTGTTTTGAATCAATGTAGAACACTGATTATTCCTCAGCACAACTGCAGTCCTAAGGTATTAACTTCTTAATGTCCTTACCAGAAACTAATATAGTGATTCCAAATTTCTAGCATAAAATATGGGATTATTTTCCTTAAAGATATTAGGATGGAAAGGCAGCTAAGAGCCAGATAAACCTGGATTTGAACCCGTCCTCTGCCACTTACTAGTTATGTGTCCTTAGGCAACTTTCTTAACCAAGTTAAGCTTCAGTTACTTCATCTATAAAATGGAAATATTAATACCTATACCTCATGAGGCTGTGAGAAATATATAAGACATTACATGTAAAATGCTTAGTACAAGGAAGTTGTTATCATTGCAGTTGTTATTATTCTTTTCTTTAGATAGTCCCTTCATAAAAAAAAAAAAAAAATCACAAGACTTTATTGTAATTAGACTATTTTAATTGTTAAAATTAAATGTGGGAATATCTAAAACAGTTTTCCTAACCTTTTAAAATATATGTCCCATCTTTGTAAATATACCCACATGGACAGCATGATATAGACTGCGAATTGTTATCTTCTACATATCATCATCAGCCCAAATAAGGCTGAATTTTTAACTCTGAAGTCTGCATTAAGGAAGACAATAGGGTTATTAGAGGGGTGGATTCCCAATATATCATAAACCTTAGGCTGTGCACATGACTTCTACTTCACTCATAAGGTCAACAGTATACATCTTATTTCCTTGCATTTAAGCTTTTTCACTTTATTGCTACATAAAAACAAAAATTATCATTTTTATAAGACATTTAAATATTTAATGTATAGAAAAAGGATAGTTAGCCAAACAACTAAAAATTATGTATCTAGATTAAATTAAAATATGAAAAATGTGTAAAGATTTAAACAAAATACAGAAATGTCTGTATACCAGAAATAAATAATGCTAGTAGAACACTAACCAAAATGCTGAAAAATACTCACCGTAAAGTCAAAGTATAATCTCCCTGCATTTTTGTTGAGGCATCTCTGACCAAGAAGGTACCATCTGGCATGTCCCTTAATTTGTCATTTACCTCCTCCCTGAAGAATTACAGGAAAAATGAGAAAAGAAAAAAAAAGGCGTCATTTGTTCTGTTCACATGTTATTACTAAGGCTACTTGGGAGGTGGGTACGTCTAAGGTTGTAGAATCGTGCGGCCTTCAGATGTCATTTAGTTCTTCCCCCTAGGTATGTTCATTCTGTTTTGATTTTCAGTGTTATGCAATCTAAGGAAGGGCTGTTTACTTCTTAAACTTTTCCAGATTTCAACTGTCTACAAGGGATAGTGTTGCCCTTAAACCTTTAGGGATTCCTTAGGCAGGTCTGAACTTGTAGAGTTTCAGGAAAAACCAGCAACTGTTTAGAAAGGTTATAGTTAAGCAACAATGTCAGCTGTGTGTCTCATCAAAGAGGGGGGAAATTCACTAAATTCACAATCTTTCAATATAATGTCCTCTGATATGAATTTATACTGATAACAAATTCCTCTGCAGAGCTGGTGTGGGACTTTAAGAAACAACTAGGACACTCAAAGGAAATGGCAGGACATAAAAGACCCTTGAAGTATAGAACCACAGGGTCTTAAAATATAAACTTAAATGGTAATTAAATATAATAGATCCTTTTATTATACAATGCTAAATTAAAATTTTTCTGATAATTTTAATATAAAATATATTTTCTTCAAAAAATTAAATATAGAATTACCATATGACCTAGAAATTCTACTTCTGAGTATATAGCCAAAATAAATGAAAGCAGGGACTTGAGCATTAATACACTAATGTTCATAGCAGCATTATTCACTAGCCAAAAGCTGGAAACAATCCAAATATTCATCAAAGACAAATGTCCAGATAAGTAAGTAAATATATATTAAATGGAATATTGTTCAGCTTTAAAAAGGAAGTAAGTTCTGACACATGCTACAGCGTGGATGAACCTTGGAGATATTGCTATAGTAGTCAAATTCATAGAAACAGAAAGTAGGATGGTGGTTACCAAGGAGGGGCTGGGGAGAATAGGAGGAAAGGGGAGTCAGTGTATCATTAATGGGTACAGAGTTTCACTTTGGGAAGATGAAATAGTTCCAGAGATGAATGGTGGTGATGGGTGAACAACAATGTAAATGTACTTTATGCCACTGACCTGTACATTTAAAGATGGTTAAAATGGTAAGGAAAAGAAGAAAGGAATCAGTGCAACTTTGATAATGGGAGAGAATGGACAAGCATATTGAGGGATACAGCATCAACCTGAAACCTGAGTTGGCAGAAATGTGTAGTGCTTTTTAAAAACAAGAAAATACAATATTCAAATTTTAAAAATATATATAGTGTGTGTGTGTGTGTGTATATACCTTCTCTAGATTCAAAATTTTCCAAAACCACATTTTATTCAAAGAGAAATCTGTCCTAGAGTCCTATTTCCCAAAATGAGGTGTGTGAAGAGTGCACCAAAATCACTTGGGGAGCTTGTTAAATACAGATTCCTGGGCCCCACCCAATTGATTCTTGCCCACATAAAGATTGTGGAACCACTGCCTTAGAGACCAAAGGTAAGGAAAATTAAGTACCTATAAGTAACTTTTATCCTAAAACATGTGTAACTATCTTAAGAGTATGTATCATTTATTCAGAAATCTATCACCAATACAGTATTAAAAGTAAAATCACACCCATAATTTAAAGACTTTGTTGTCACTTTTTTTTTTGTGGGAAGAAAAGCATTTAGAAACTTTTGAAATGTTCTCACACAATCTCTTAAATGGTAATCTTTAAAAGACAACTGATGGGATATTAAAATCTTTTAACTACTAATTCTCAAAAATGATTTTTTTAAAAACTGTATTCAATTATAATAACATTCTAATTACCTTGAAATATCCCCCCAGTACCATTCTGCATCCTGAAGAGAAACAGAACTGTCCTTCATTCCATTTGTAACAGGTGAAGTCATTGGCTTAGGTGGCTTTGGTGGAAGAGCTGGAAGAGAAATGAATATTGTTTTGTAGATGTAAATTATCATTTGTTTTCTAATTTCCTCAGTCAGGAATCGCCCACTAAGATTCAAATAATTATAAATCAAATTGTGTTATTTTACATTAAATCTTTTCATTTCTAAATATATTTTTATATAAGGGAGAGGGAGGGAGAGAGAGACATTGATATGAGAGAGAAACATCAATTGGTTGCCTCCCACACACACTCCAATCTGGGTATGTGTCCTGACTGGGAATCGAACTGGCAACCTCTCAGTGCATGGGATGACACTCAACCAACTCAGCCACACAGGCCAGGGTTTACATTAAATCTTAAACATTCGCCCAACCAGCCCAGTTCAATGGTTGACAGTCCATCTATGAACCAGAAGGTCATGGTTCGATTCCTGGTCAGGGCACATGCCCAGGGTTGCAGGCTCAATCTTGCAGGAGGCAGCCAATCAATGACTCTCTTTCATCACTGATGTTTCTCTCTCTCCCTTCCTCTTTCTGAAATCAATAAAAACATATTTTTTAAAAAATCTAAAACATTAGCCAAAAAAAATCCTTTTAGAACTATACCAACAATTGCCTGAAAAGTGAAAACTTCAAACTATTTGGGGCTCTTCCCTTCCTATTTTTTTAATTTAGTTTTTATTTTAAAATTACAGTTGACATAGAATATTATATTAGTTTCATGTGTACAACCCCATGATTAGACATTTATGTAACTTATGAAGTGATCACCCCAATAAATATAGTACCCATCTGACACCATATATAGTTATTACAATATTATTGACTATATTCCCTATGCTTTACATCCCCATGACTATTCGGTAAGTACCAATTTGTACTTCTAAATCCCTTCACTTTTTCCACCCATCTCTCCAACCCCTCTCCCACCTGGCAACCATCAAAATGTTCTCTGTATCTATGAGGCTGCCTCTGTTCTGTTTCTTTTTAAATTCCACATGTAAGTGAAATATCTGGCATTTGTCCTTCTCGGACTTATTTCACTCAGCACAATACCCTCTAGATCCATCCATGTTGTCACAGATGGCAGTATTTCATTCTTTTTTATGGCTGAGTCATATTCTATCATATACATGCATCACTTCTTCTTTATCCATTCACCTATTGATGAACACTTAGGTTGCTTCTATATCTTGGCTATTGCAAATAACGCTGCAATAAACATACAGATGTGCATATCTTCTTGATTTAGCGTTTTGGGTTTCTTGAGAGAAATATCCAGAAATGGAGTTGCTGGGTCCTTCTTTGTCTCTTGTTGTAGCCTTTGTTTTAAAGCCTATTTTGTTTGGCCCTGGCCCAGGTAGCTCACTGGATTGTAGCATGGTCCCAAAGAGCCAGGGTTCGGGGTTCAATCTCCGGTCAGGGCACATAGAAGAATCAACCAATGAATGCATAAATAAGTGAAACAACAAATTGATGTCTCTCTCTCTCCGCTCTTTCTTTATTTCTCTAAAAAAATCAAGCAAATTAAAACAAATTTTTTGAGTCTTTTTTTTATCTGGGTTAAGTACTGCTACATAAGCTTTTTATTTTGTTTTGTTTCCATTTTCATATCTTTTTCCACTCCTTTACTTTCAGTCTGTGTGTGGCTTTTGATCTGAAGTGAGTTTCTAGTAGACAGCATATGAAAGGTTCTTGTTTTGTTATCCATTCAGCCACCATATATGTCTTTTGATTGGAGCATTTAATCCATTTGCATTTAAAGTAACTGTTGATAGATACATAACTATTGCCATCTTTTTTTTCTGTTTTATTTTTATTTTTAAAGAAGAGCCTTTAACATTTCTTGTGATACTGGTGTGGTGGTGATAAGCTCCCTTAGCTTTTTCTTGTCTGGGAAACTCTTCATCTGTCCTTTGATTCTAAATGATAGCTTTGCTGGGTAATCTTGTAGGTTTTTGCTTTTCATCACTTTGAATATTTTGTGTCAATCCCATCTGGCCAACAAAGTTTCTGTTGAGAAATCAGCTGACAGTCTTATGGAAGTGCCTTTGTAGGTAACTAACTGGTCTTATCTTGCTGCTTTTAAAGTTCTCTATCTTTAACCTCTGGTATTTTAATTATGAGGTGTCTTGATGTGGGCTCATCTTGTTTGGGACTCTCTACACTTCCTGGGCTTATACATCTATTTCCTTCACCATGTTAGGGAAGTTTTCCAACATTATTTTTTCAAGTAGGTTTTTAATTTCTTGCTCTCTCTCTTCTCCTTTCCGTACCCACATGATAAGAATGTTGGTTCACTTGAAGTTGTCCTAGAAGCTCCTTACACTATTCTCATTTTTTTATTCTTTTTTCTTTTTGCCGTTCTGATTGGTGGTTTTCTGCTTCCTTATATTCCAAACCACTGATGTGATTCTCTACTTCATGTACTCTACTGTTGATTCCCTGTAAATTATTCTTCATTTACAAAATTGTTTGTGGTAAAGGTTACAGAGCTCTGTGAATACACTAAAAACTATTGAATTATACACACACATTAAGTGGGTGAATTCTATGGTATGTAAATTATATCTCAATAAAGCTGTTATTAAAAAAACAAATATCAGACTTCTGAAATTATTAGATTGAGGAGAGCTTGCTATAATCCATACTTTTTTTCTAAGTGGATACTTATTTGTACCTGTCTTGTTTGAAAAAGATTTGATGTGGCTTATTAAAGTACCTACAGTTGGAACTCCAATTTTGCAAAATTTAGCATTCTTCTAGTTATCCACTTATAAAGATTTACACAGTTGAAACTTATGCTATACAAAGCACTGTGTTATAGTTATGAAACGTACAAAGACAAGGTGTTCCCAGCATTCAAAAGAACAAATCTAGAAGGAATGATATATAGAAACATCTAACCATAATACTCAGCAGAATGAGATAAATACTATAATAAAGGTAAAAGCAAAGTGTAATGGAAACCTAGCAAAAGAAGCAATTGATCCCCTCCTGTGGAAACTTTAAGTTCAAACACTAAGCTTCTCAAACCTAGTCCTTACTGAACTGAGTGCCATGACCAGCAGGTCCCAATAAGAACCAATCTGCCTCCTTGAATCAGCAGGTGGGTTACAACCTAATCACCAAAAGGAGTCACAAAGACTTGCTGTTGTCTATAAACCTTCTCTGCAGGAGCTCTAAACGGAATTGAGTTGACCAGGCTATGTGGGGAAGCTGCTACTTATGGATAATGATAGTTCACTGATAGCTCTACCACCAACAAACATATAATGACCATTTCACTTCTATTACATTGGGCTTCTCACAGCCTCCTTGTACCTTGCTTTTTCTCATCTGAAGAAATATAAGAATGAAATATGATTACAAAGCAATTCCTACATAAAGCTGCTAAAAGAACACAATCATAATGAAGAGCTGAAATGAATGCAATACTGGACTTATTTCTACATTCTTATCTATCATCACTCCATACATATATTAAATAAATATTTTTTAAAAACCTCTCCTATGTTCTAAAAGCTAGAAATACAGCAATAAACTAAATAGACACAGTCCCTATACTTAAAGACTTTATAATCCAGAAGGGTAAATTTCAAGATAATTCATTATTCCTAAAATCATGGGTATGTTCAAATTTAGCTCAACTGAACTTGCCTGTGTCTTCAAAGTGTTTTTGTGTTCTCTGGTAGCTGATTCCCCTCCCCATGTAAATTATAAAATTTACTGGACAAAAGTAAATTAAAAATTTACCTTAAATAACCTTCTAGTTACATGGAGATAAGCAGATTTATCCTTATATGTCACTTCCAACTATGATATTGTAAATAAAGGTAAAAAAAAAAAATTCCAAATCACATATATATTAAGTATGTTCAGTAAAACATATTGAGGAAAAGCTAATTAGGGTACATTAATTACCTTTCAATTCTTTGACAAAGTAGTTCTTGCATAGGCACTGCAATGTTGAGTGATGAGTTAAATGCACCTAAGTACATACCTTTCTAAATAAGTATCCATAAATGCCTAGCACTTTTATTTCTATTTAGTATACAATGAAAAGTATTTCTCTTCCCATTTTGAGAACTATAGTGCAAGTTTTTAATATTAGCAATACACAAAGATATTTTAAAGTCAATTTTAATATGTGCATATATGAACAAATATATACACATAAAGACATCAGGTAGACTACACAAACCGTTAACAATATACAAAACAGGGATGCGGGAACAGCACAGGAGAGCACTTTCTTTACCTGTGTATGTATGGTTTCTTATGTATGTTTTAACAACAAAAAAACAGAAATAATAGGTTATAAGTAAATTTTCATTTTAATTTATTTTCTGACTTTTTAAAAAACTTTCAAAAATTCACTTTGATTTTTTTAACTAAAGAAAGTATTTAGGAACTGAGGCACTATAAAAAATTAATTCTTGGTCGTAATCTACAAATAATCTACAAACACTACATGAAAGTACTGTATTAAATGTACAGAAGTTGATAACTGTAGTGCACTGTGGTATGTAAAGAAATGTTCCTATTCTTAGGAAATACATATTGAGGTATTTAGGGGTTAAGGGCCAGGATGAATGTAACTTATTTTCAAATAATTCAGAAAAACTGGAATATTATTTTACATAAAGAGAGAGCATGAGTGATAAAGCAAATGAAATAACATGTTAACAGGAGAACCTGAGTAAAGGACATATTGGGTGTCCTTCGTATTCTTATTTTTGCATCTTTTCTGTAAGTTTGAAATTATTTCCAAATAAAATATTTAATTTTTTTAAGAATAAAAATTAGGTACTTATTAAAACCAGGGAGGAATGACAGATTTCAGCCCTCACAGTCTATGCTGCAATTTGACTTTATGAAGGATGATTTTAAATCAAAAATGAAAGAAAAGCTAAAAGAATATTAGAACATATGTCTCCAGTGTGTGCTGGGGGGAAAAATGAGGCACATATAGTTATATAACAAAGTCAGAGACCTTCAAGCCTTTTGATTCCATTAAATACCACA